TATCTTCTAAGTTTTGGATGCTTACTTTACATATCTTGCAGTAGAGAGCGGTTGTGTCAAGATTCACCAAATAGTTGGATATACGTTTGCCTTTTATAAAATTTTTCTTATCCAAAATGTCATGGCCAAGTGAGTGTAATTTTAAGTTTGTGGGGTTTTTATACGTTTGAGAGCAGAATGAGCATGAAAACCCGAAGTCGTTATGATGACGTATTGGTGTGGCGTTGGTATAGACGAGGACGCTAGCAATATTATCGCCGTGCTCTTGTAAAGTGCCTTTCTTTCCATGAACAATTGCTTGGAAGCTCTCCTCATCAGAGGCTGATGTAGAGTTATCGTCAAGCTGTCTTCTTTGGCTTCCTATAAAGGGAGAAAGAATTTAAAATATGTATATATAAATATGGCTTGCTTCCCAATACACACTTTCATTTTATTTTCTCCCCTTAAGGGATGATTTCCTATAAAAACTATCCTATGTCCTTCCCAGGGTCTCAAAGTATCTTCTTACAAAATTTCATCTAAATCGGTTCTGTAATTTCGGTACTTTTCGGTACAAAGAAACAAAAAAAATGTTTCCCCTTTATAATATTAGTAAAGATAACACTTTCTTAGATTTATGCGAATATTTGGAATTTTTGATTTGATTTCTTAATAAATAATACGTTTCTCTACACTTAAAATGTAGCTTGAAAAGCGTTTTCGTATCATGAATTTACTTTTAAGTCTTCCCTCGTTTGAATTCGAAATTCAAAAGTAGGTCTTAGGTGCAAAACCATAAACTTTTATGATGTTAATTATATATAAAAATTATAATTAATTGTATTATTAAAACAGACTTTTATAAAGCAAATTTGAATCGTCAATATGTATTTTTTTTTAATTATGAATCCGTAGGTAGTTTGTGAGCAAGCTATCGACGGTTTCGAAGGCAGTTCTGCTGGAAAGATGGCTATTCTACGGCGAGAACTCAATAGTCCCTGGTTCTTCCTTACATCTATACTTAATATTATAAAGAGGTAAAGTTTGTGAGTTTATGACGTTATAGGGGGTAATCTCTGGATTTACTGAACGGATGTAGATGAAAGGAAAGAAGATAGTTTGAGACCCTGGGAAGGACATAGGATACATTTTAACCCGGAAATCATCCCTTAAGGGGGTGAAATGGGGATGAAAGTTTGTATGGGGAATCAACCTAGGGACGAACCCGAGCGAAGCGAGGGTGAGGCGCTAATCATTGATATACAAAAACTCCAAAATTAGCGTCTCAAAAGTGTCTTCAAAATAAGTGCACAATTCGAAAATGAATTGCGCATTCTTTTGTTCATTGTTTTTCGGATGACAAAATTGTTTTGTTTAAAAAAAATACTTTACGTGGTGTGGGTAAGTTCGAATTTGTGTTTAGACAATCGATCGATCGAGTATCGATTCTATCGATATCATTGCCCTCCGTTAATAGTATTGTCGTATTTAGAGCTGTCAATATTATCGATAACATCAATATAGCTATCGATAGCAGGGCTGTTTTAGATGAAAACTATCGATAGTGAAACTATCGATACTTCGCAACACTATTGAGTGCGAACGTTGATCGCAAAAAATCGTAAGAAATATACTAATACCTACTTACCTCCTAACAAATCGACGAGTGAAAAGTGCAAGAAAAAAGATAGGGAATACGTTACTTCTGCATGTTCTCTGTTCTTTATACTATATTTAGACGACACGTTTGGCTCAGTTTGTAATGACCCTACTTGCTGTGCCAGCGGTCGCGGGTTCGAGACCCGCTGGTAGCATTCATTTGTGTGATGAGCACGAATGTGTGTACTCCAGTCTTGAGTGTTTACATAGTCTCGTAGCTTACCATGGAACTAGATGATGATATGTGTTAATGTCCCAATATATTTATTTTAATTTTATTTAAGATACCTGATAGATTATTTTTACAAAATGTTTATAAATTATACCCTATTTCAAGATACTCTCTTCTTCTATTGGTGAAGACAGAAATGAGACTAGGCCGAACAAATACAAACCCAAATTGAATTTATAATATGTTGGTATAATGACCTACTAAAAACTGTCACACGGAACTAAAATTCAAAAAAAAATTCAACAACACCTCAAACTGAAAAACTCCAATTGAAAACAAAAGACCTTTAAGAAATAATCTATTATTTGTTTACAAAAAAAAAACAAAAATAACTACAAATGTTCGCCATGCTTAGTCCGCATATGCATTTTCCAACTACACTTCTGCACGAACGCCTGCCCACAGTGTTCACACTTAAACCGCCTATCATTCGCATGTATCCGCATATGCTCTCGAAGTGTTGATTTCCTCCCGTACGATTTCGAACAAATGGCACAAGTGTAATCTTTGGAACCAGTGTGTTTAACCATATGTATTTTTAACTCTATATGCTTATATGCGCTAAAATCACACTCGTTACACTTGAAAGGACGTAACATTAGGTGAAAGCCTCGTATGTGAGCTCTGAGAGAACGTTGACTCTTGTAAGACTTGCTGCATGCTTGACATGTGTATATAGGTTGTGCAGCACTGTGTACATTCACTTCATGTTCTTTCTTCTTCACGACATCCACAAATCGTTCGGAGCAATATCCACATCTGTGGCGTTTGTTGTTCAAAAGGTGTACAGTACGCTCGTGAGCGGCACATCGCACTTTCGTTGAAAACACTTTCGGACAAAATTTACACGTAAACACCCCCGTTACATGGCGATAGTTGTGCATGCGTAACAAATTTTTGTTTATAAAACCACGTCCACATTTCGCGCACTCGTAGTTGTTACAGTGAGTTGAATTCATGTGGTCATTTAATGGTTTGAAACTTTGAAATTGTTTTGAGCACACCGCACACTTCAACACTTCACTATCAAATTTGAATGGTATTAGTACATCGTGAGTGTCAGTGTGAATTTTTTTCCCGTGAACCGTGCTCAAGTGTTTCAAAACACTTTCAAGTGTATCGATTTTTTCGTCACATACGTTACACTTTAGATCTGTTACATCTAATTTCACAACACTCTGGGCTAGAATTTTAACTCGTAGCATGTTTTCGCTGCAATGTGTTTCTATTGTATGTTTCTTCAAATCTCTTGGCTTCTCGTACTGTATAGAACAAAATTGACAAGCGTATCCCACTCGCAGGAAACCTTTCAACGGCGTTGCATTCGTATATTTCATTATACAGTCCAAGTTTTCTTGACACTTTCGTAAATCGGGATTTTTTGGCTTCGATCGTACAGTTTCATCCAAACGCTGCATTTCTGAGAAAAAAATATTGTAAACGTTAAAAAAATTACATTATCGTATCCGTTAGATGTCGCAATCGCAAATTTTAAAATGGCTGTACTAAATTTGACAAAATGGGGTCGTTCAAACTTTATATAATTTATTTTTATTTTTTATTGAATATAATTTATTACTACCCTCGGACACACTGAATGAGTTTTATTCTATACGTTGTTAGTCACTATATTTTGGATGTATGACATCTAACGGAGTAAAATAAAAAAAAATTATATAGAGCGTATAGATTGAAACCACTTACCTCCGACTTCCAATGTTTTAGTTATACAAAAACCAACACATTCAGTGTTCCGAGGATAAGAATGAGAATAATCTATACATATAATAAAATTGTAACTAAGCCGAATCTGTACATTAAATATTTTATGGAAAATCTTATTGAAATAGACATTATTATCGATACAGGGGCCGAATCTATATTTTTTAGAATTTTTGTCTGTCTGTGTCTGCTACCGCGTCACAGAAAAACCACTGGAGGGATTTTGATGAAATTTAGTATGGTGATAGCTGGTTATCCGGGTCAACATATAGGATACTTTTTACCGCGGGAAAATATCTCATTTCTGAGAAAAAATACAAAAACTGCAATGTAAGAGTATACAAATATGTAAAACCTAAGAATATTGTTTTTGGTCATCTGAACGTGGGCGGAGCCGCGGGAATTGCTAGTAAAAAAGACTATACTCGTACATATAATAAAAGTGTAATCGCTCGCTGTCTGTACATAGAAGATATTTGAGAAAAACTATTATTACGAACCTTTATTAACGCAATAGAACCTAAAACAGTGACTTTTAGAATATCTGTCTGTTTTTCTGTGCGTTTGCGCGCTAATTTTAGAAACAGCTTAACCGATTTTGGTGCGGTTTTCACTAATGTACTGTGGTAAGCTTCACTTAACGTTTAGTATTTGTTTTATTCCAATCGGTTCACAAATTAAAAACTTATGTTATATTGTTAAAATTGGCGAATTCAGTGTTTTTTTTTCTAAATAATTTTTGTAGAAGTAAAAGACAATAATTTTTTTTTAAATTTGCCCAGTCTGGTTGACTGACCAACTAATATAATAATAATAATATACTTAGTTAACGTTTTTTGTATAATTATTGTTGAGAAATATGAACTTCTAAGTATGAGATTTTTGTAGTACTTATAAAATAATATCATGTAGGGTAGAAAAGAAAAATTTTCTTATATAGAAATTGTATAAATAAAATGTTGCCAGATTTAATTAATTTAATAACTATTTCAAGCTATTATTAAAAATAATATTATCTAAGTTTGTATGATTTTTTATTTTCGTATTCATTTATGTTTTATTAAAGACGACAGAAGATTTTGTATTTTTTTTTATTCTACACATACATTTGTATTTCACCATTTGGTCAATTTTAAACATCATATTTACCAATCAATTATGACTTGTCCTTAAAAATCTAATTTTCAGATTTTATAATACTTTATAATTAAAAGACAATCAAAAGTCAGACAGACGAAAATAAAAAATAAATAAATCTAATATAATTAATTCCAAGTTACAAACGAGCATCTCCTAAACTAAAACGAAAAAACCGCCAATATTCCTGTCTAACACGCACAGATAAAAAAAAAAACAAAAAAAAAGAAAACACATTGAAAACTAAAAAAGAATATATTTAAAAAAACTACATATGCTCGCCATGCTTAGTCCGCATATGCATTTTCCAACTACACTTCTGCACGAATGCCTGCCCACAGTGTTCACACTTGAACCGTCTATCGTTCGCATGTATTCGCATATGCTCTCGAAGTGTCGTCCTCATGCCGTACGACTTCGAACAAATATCACATGTAAAATTTCTATCTCCAGTGTGTTTTATCATATGCTTTTTCAAATCATAAGGCGTGTACGCACTGAAGTCACACTTGGCACACCTGTGTGGACGCTGCATTAAGTGAAACGCTCGTATATGATTTCTTAACGTACGCAGATCTAGATACGATTTGCTGCACGCCTGACAGTTATATAGAGTTGGCGCTGCGTTATGTTTTGACACTTCGTGCTGTTTTTTCTTTGATAAATTGGAAAATCGTTCCGAGCAATATCCGCATGTGTATAGATAGTTGTTATATATATGTACAGTACGCTCGTGGGCATTACTTCGCACTTTAGATGAAAACACTTTAGGGCAAAATTTACACTTGAACACTCCCGTCTCATGTCTTAGGCTGTGCGCTCGTAAAGAATGTTTACTTATAAAACCGCGTCCACACTCATCGCACTCGAAATTTTTATAGTGATTCCAATTCATATGGTCGTTTAAGGGCTTGAAACTGTGAAACGTTTCCGAACAAACGGCACACTCCAGCGCTTCACTTTCAAATTTAAACGGTATAAAAAAATCACGGATGCCAGTGAAAATTTTCTTGCCGTGAACATAGCTCAAGTGTTCCAAAATACTTTCAAGTGTTTCGATTTTTTCATCACATATTTTACACTTTAAACCTGTCACGTCAAGTTTAACTATTCTATGCTTGCTAACTTTAGCACGCAGTTTGCTATGTGTTTTTAAAGTGTGTTTCTTCAAATCCGCGGGCTTTTCACATCTCATGGGGCAAAACACACACGCGTATCCCGCTCGATGAAACCCTCTCAAAGGCGTTGCATTCGTATATTTTATTACACAATCCACATTATCTTGTGCCTTTTGCACATCTGTTTTTCTTTCAGCATCATCAAAATATACTGTAAAAAAAAGTATACACTAAAGATTTTGCAGTCACGTTGAAATTTATTATTACTATGAAAATGTATGATTTAAAACTATTTATTATTATCTACTAGCTACTCACCCTCGCTTCACTCTGGTGCGTCTCTAGATACGTTTAAATTTTTTTGAGCGGAAACCTAATGCTTTTCTAAAATAAAAATAGCCTAAGTTACTCCTTATAACATCAGCTATCTGCCAGTGAAAGTACCGTCAAAATCTGTCTAACCGTTTCGGATAGCCGGAACAAACACACAGACAGACAAACAAGTTAAAAATTGTGTTTTTCTTATAAGTACCGTATATAATTTCATATGCATTTAGAAAAAAGCTACATACAAACAGACACTTCAATTTTTTTAGATAAATATTTTTGAACATAAAAAAAGGCCAATCGTTATAAAACTTAAAAGACTCAAACCTTTACCTATCCAACAAAAAAAATATTGCCTAAACAAAAAAAACCTCAGCAATCTTATACATACTTTCTATAGCGGCATGGAGGGAACTCTTCGGCACGTTATAAATGGTGCAAGCCTGGCCACGAGACATGGTCTTATTCTTGACCGCCTCCAAACACTTCTTGAAATCTTCTTCCGTGTATTTTTTGGACTTTTGGGCAGTTATCAACTCCATTGGGTTGCTTGATGAGGCCAATTTAAGTCCTAAAAAGTAATACCATCTTAGATTTACGCGAATATTGATCACAAAAATGTTATGAAATTAAAAAAAATACCGTAAGAAATTAAAAAAAAGTCCAAATTAAAACTTTTTTTTGTTCAAAAAGTTATAGCTATTAGAGACGGCATCTATACAGAAATAATTTTGTTACAAAATAGAAACGACACGGTATTTCAATATCTAAAAATTAAAAAAAAACCTATTAGTATTGCTATAGTTTTACCATAGGTAATTATTTAATTCGAAGTCAGGAACCAAAAGGTAAAATATTAATAATTTTTAATATAATAGTTCAGGTTTGTTTTTTATTTACTGAGCATTTATCTAATTTACCCAAAAACCGTCATGTCTGCCTTTCACAATAAGCCTTAAACACTATCGATCAAAAAAGTACTAGATACAAAAACGCAAAAGTTCTCTTAAAACTGTCACCAATTGTGTTTAGGTAATTGTTCTAGTTCTAGTAGTGAGAACATTTTTTGTCGATGATTGTGTATCCAGTATTTTTTTGATTTTTGAAAATTAGAAACATAAAATGTTAAACGTCATACTCACTCACTAACGCAATATGTATCGCCTGCCGCGGCACATTGTACAAGATGGACGCCTTGCACTGTGACAGGCGCTTGCTCTGTACCGCCTCCACGCACTTCTGTACGTCTGCTTCCGTATATCTCTTTATTTTTCTACTTGGCACATCTGTTTCCGGTGAATCCGTTGTATTATCATCACTGTCTGTAGTTTCTTCTTCCTTTTGTTTATCTTCTTTTTCCTTAATACTTATACTTTCATCTAAAGGCGGCATTTCTGAGGGAATAATTATAGATTAAAAATTGATTAAAAAAAATATAAACCAAATTCCAGGCACTAAAATGTAAAAAATAACTAAACGGGGGTTTTCATTTAGAATAGACACCTAATCAGATATTTTCGAAGTCGGAGCCAGCCGATGCAAAGCAAATCTAATATATTTTCGATACGTAAAATACATATTTACCTATTAGATATTCATATCTTAAAATATTGTCGGCTCTCATTTAGTTCAGCAAATTTTTTTTAGCTCTGATGAGACCAAAACCCACTAATTTGGGAAGTGAAATTTTGACAGCCTGTTTTAATGACATAAATAATTATAATCGCTAATTTTTAGTTTATTAAAAATTAAAACCCCTAATAGCCCGAGAGCTCGTGACGAATTTTGGGAAGGTCCTTTTGGCTAGTTGAAATTGTGAAAAAATATAATTTTATGAATGAATCGCGCATGAAGGGTTTCGTACCATTATCTATAAAAATAGCAAAAAATCACGTTTGTTGCATGGGAGCCCTCTTAAATATTTTTTTTATTCTATTCTTTTGTATTTGTTGTTATAGCGGCAACAAAACTACATCATCTGTGAAAATTTCAACTGTTTAACTATCACGGTTCATGACATACAGCCTGGTCACAGACGGATAGACAGACGGACGGACAGCTGAGTCTTAGTAATAGGGTCCCGTTTTACCCTTTGGGTACGGAACCCTAATAAACTACTCTAAAATACTCTGTTGAGAACGCAGAGCCCGAACCATACTCGAAACGTGCGATTTCTCGATAACCAATCACAGCGCGAGGATCTTGGGCCCCCATCAGCTGCTGGCATACCTCGATAAGCTATCTTTCTTACACCTAAAAAGACTTTTTTGTAGTACTAATTTGTAAACTTTATTCACGTCTGGGAAGGGTTTAAAACCACTAAATTCGTCTGGCGATTTGCAAATATTATTGAAAATTACTCAATAAATACGTGATTAAAATTTCAGATTGCCAAAAGTATGTTTTTTGGAATAAAAAAATGAGTCTTTGGAGAGGTCTGGCAATACTTTATAACCGACAAAAATGTCTGGGGTTCTTTTTTTGAATTATATGAAAACTAACTTAAAGGATTAAACAAAAATCAAGTTGCCAAAAATATGTTTTTTTTTATATATTTTTTGCAAATGTTGTATACTGCGCAGTAGCGAAATAACCGCTAAAGCGATACCAGACTCGCGGGACTGGACTCGTCAATTCACGAAATTATATTTTTTCACAATTTCAACTTGCCAAAAGGACCTTCCCAAAATTCGTCACGAGCTCTCGGGCTATAAATTTGTTCAAATTAAAGTTTGTAGGGAAATAAAGCCGGACAAAGCCAAGACAGGGTGCTAGTTTCTTATAAACTTACTTTATATACATATAATTTTGGGTGAAATAATTATAAAAAAAAAGTAGCATTGCCCGCGGCTGCGCCCGCGTTCAGATGACCAAAAACCAAATTCTTAGGTTTTACATATTAGTATACTTTTACATTGCAGTTTTTGTATTTTTTTTTCTCAGAAATGAGATATTTTCCAGCGGTAAAAAGTATCCTATATGTTGACCCGGATAACCAGCTATCATCATACCAAGTTTCATCAAAAACCCTCCAGTGGTTTTTCCGTGATGCGGTAACGGACAGACAGACAAAAATTCTCAAAACTATAGATTCGGCCTCTGTTTCGATAATAATGTCTATTTCAATAATATTTTCCAAAAAATATTTAATGTACAGATTTGGCTTAGTTTCAATTTTATTATATGTATAGATGTTTATTATTGAAAATTGAATATTTTGTGGTACATAAAAAAAAATTAAAAAAATTTTTTGTGGTCTTATCATCACATACTTTTTTTCTACCCTACCCAATAAAAGATTCAAAGCATTATGACCAATCCAATTTAATTAAAAAAACAGTGTATGCTACCATTTTTGTTTGTTACTGTTACTCTTTCACGCGTAAACGGTTGGACGGATTTCAATGAAACTTTGTACACAAATAGGCTGTGATATGGAGGATAATAAAAACTTATGCATCTAGGGATTGACATTTCGAACTCTTACTCACTCTTTAACGCACTTTGTATCGCCTTGCGCGGCACATTGTACAAGATGGCCGCCTTGCACTGTGACAGGGTCTTGCTTTGTACTGCCTCCACGCACTTTTGCACGTCCGCCTCCGTATATCTTTTTGTTTTTTTCCTTGGAACATTGAATGATTCATCTCTTTCCGGTGAGTCAATTTTATTATCATCACTGTCTTTAATTTTCGCATCCCTTTGGATACTTTCTTTTTCCGTAAATTTTATACTTTCATCTAAAGGCGACGTTTCTATAAAAAAAAAAATAGTATGCACTAGTTTTTTTTAATATAATAAAATAATATATTATACATATTTAACTAGCCACAAAACTAGACATAAAATAATATTTTACTCTACTACGACTAAAAAACTGTTTTTTAGCTTTAGCCCCTTAGTTCCATAAAAAAAACTTATTAATAAAAAGCAACTTAAAAAAACACTAAAAAGTAAAAACTAACTGATTGATAATTTTCATTTACTATAGATACCTAATCAAATATATTCAAAGTGCTTTGTGAATCGACTGGCATGGACTTATTTGAAAAAAAAATACCACTATTTTTTTTTCAAATTTAAATGGGACCAAATTGGAAGTACATAATATACATTTTCAAACAACAAAAATTGTCCTAATCAATTAATAAATGACGGAGTCTGAGGTAACAAACATAAAAAAAATAAAGCCAAACTGAGAACCACCTCCTTTTTGAAGAAGTCGGTTGAAAAAAAACCATATAAAACTTATACTTACTCTCAAGAGGGATACGAATAACCCTCCTTGATATTTTAAACAATTTGGATGGTTTATTTTGCGACAGTGTTTTATTTTGAACCTCTTTGACGCATTTTTTTAAATCATTTTCTCTAAAGTATTCGGATGCTGGGTTTAGGTATAATTCATTATCGATTTCTTTAGTGGGATTCATTTCTATACCTTAAACAGTGGATTAAATTATATTATTGCTCTATAAATTTGTTATGTCGTTATTGCTTTTGAATTAATATATTTTTTGTTGAAGTAAATCCTCTTTGGGCGTGATTGAAGGGTAAGTCAGTACATTGGAAAGATGAGTGTCGCGGAAGCGAGAGTCAAATATATTATCTATAATTTAAAAAAAAATATTATATTTATATTTTTGTAATAATAATAATTTATATTCCTATATATATTTAATACTAATGATTTTATGATAATTATTATATTTTGATTTGTTTTAATTTAATTGTGCTATGTGTCACAGCACCAAAGAAGTTTTACTTCAACCGCGCGTAAAGGTTTCACCTTTTTTTATATATATAATCTGTTGTGATTAAATAATTCATATCCGTTAGATGTCACAACGGCAATTCGTTGAAAATATTAAATTGCTAACCTCGGACACACTGAATGAGTTTTGTTTTTTACATTTTTAAGCACTACACTATAGTATGAGAGACATCTAACGGAATTATATAGTTTATAATTTTTAATTAATACGGCCAATGTTGCCATAACAATTAAATATAGAATGTATAGAATGAAATGACTTACCTCAGACTTCCTATGTTATTGTTACACAAAAACCAACACATTCAGTGCTCCAAGGATTAAAAATGAAAAAATTAATTTAAAAACTTTAATTCGTTTTTATAAATTCGAAAATTTCTGATGATGTTTGGATGTTTGTTAAATAATCGCACATAAACATAAGATATTCACATATTCTATGGTATAAATGTTCAATTGTAAGTTTTTAATTTAACAATAGGTGGCATTATCCAAAAAAGAAGTAAATGTAAAAAAAATAATCAAATAATTATTTCTAGATTTGAGAAAAATATTTTTTTAAATAAAGTAAATATTATGTTACTTTATTTAAAGGTTGTTAAAAATTGCTTTTTATTTTTCAATCCAATACCAAGTAATTTTAGTTTTATTTCTCACCTAGATGTAACATTTTTCACTCATAACCAAATTTTCTGCCTTTTTTTATTATTTATTCTCTTATAATTGTATATGAATAACGAAACAAACATTCATTGATCTTACTTACTATCAAGGGCACTTCGAATAGTCCTTCTCGGTATGTTATACAATAAGGATGCTTTGGATTGGGACAGAGTTTTACTTTTAACACCCTCGAGACATTTCTTGAAATCCTCTTCTGTATATTTTTTTGATTTTTGGTTCATAAATAATTCTTCTTGGATTGGTTTAGTTGGAGACTCTATTTTAATATCTATAAGTGGAATATTTTTCAATATAATATCACATTATATGTAATGCTACTAAAAAAAAAAAGTTTTGACTTTGCATGTACTTTTCTGACAATACAGCATGTGAAGATTAATCTCAAGTTTAAAGAAAATGGAATGGAAAGCAGAAACTGAATGTTAGCCATGTAACTAAAGAACTATTCTACTATAATAATAATTATTTTAAATATGAATCTGTACCTGATTTTTCTTTTCCAATATCATCATCCTCTAAAAACTCTATGTTCAGATACTCTGTTTCGATATCAGTATCAGAATCATCCTCCATCTTCACAGCATACGATTCTAAAAAAAGTATTTTCTTAAAAATGTATTCTAAATACTTATTTTCAAAGAAAATATTGTATGAAAAGCCATACCATTTTTAATTTCTTCCAGTAACAATTGTGCGGACAATAAAATTTCCTTTTTAAAGTTTACAGCGTCATGCAACTTAGATATGCATATTTTACAAATATGTTCTGAATCAGAATCAGAGTTTATTGATGGTTGTTCCCACTGGAATAGAAAATGAAAATATAAAACAAATAGATTGCTTCCCAATACAAATGTTCATCCCCATTTTCACCCCCTTAAGGTACGATTTCCGGGATAAAATGTATTCTATGTCGTTCCCAGGGTCTCATACTATCTTCTTACTAAATTTCATCTAACTCGGTTCAGTAAATGCAGAGATTACCCCCTACAACCTCACAAACTTTACCTCTTTTTTAATATTAGTTTAGATTAATGGATATATATTAAGTTTAATTTAGCTCAAAAGTAAACAATTGAGTATTGTTTGCTATTAGATAGGTAACTAAAAAATAAGTGTATTACTCATACTTTTATTAATAACATTTGTTAAAAGCCTAAATATTTACTTACATTTAAAGAAAAGCAATAATTTATCATTTCACCATATATTCTACGTTCGCCCTGACTATGATATTCGGTCCACAAATCTTTTAATCCGTCTTCTCCTAAACAGCATTTGCATCTTTTTAAATTGTCAATAATTGTGTTTTTTTCCATATTTACTTTTGGTTTTAAACAAATTATTCAATACTTATGGCCGACACAGACCAGCGAATTTAGTCTTAACTCTTATGACAACGAACGACAGATCGGGATAACCATAGACTAAATAAAAAAATTTAAATTACTTTGGTCGTCAACAGACCTCTATCTAAAGATGTCAGTAGACGAGACTGACAACTTAATTTTTTAGGGGACATACCATACTAGTATAGTACAATACCATACACTATCGATACAGAGGCCGAATCTATAGTTTTTAGAATTGTTGTCTGTCTGTTACCGCATCATGGAAAAACTACTGGAGGGATTTTGATGAAATTTGATATGATGATAGCTGGTTATCCAGGTTAATAGGATACTTTTTATTGCGGGAAAATATCTCATTTCTGAGAAATCTATACTAAGCATTAAAACGTAACTAGCAACCGAGCAGAGCGTGGGTGAATCGCTAGTAATGATATAAAAATCTAACAAATTTAATTGCGACTATATTTGCGAAAATAATTTATCTATCCATTCATCATTTTTATCAACAGGGAGGAAAAAAAATACAATATTTTAACTAATATATTTAAATTTCATATAAAAAAATCCTAGAATTTAATTCTAATAACCTTTACATACATATAATCACCATTAACCCGTCAAATCTTCTCGATGATCATTCTGACAATGTCTTTTCAAACCAACCATCCTCGTAAAACCTAATCCACATAGACCACAAATGAAATTCTTCTCCCCCGTATGTCTCACCATATGATTTTTCAATTCATATTTCATTAAAAAGCATTTTTCACAATGTTTACACTTATACTTTTTCTCAGCACCATGTTTTCTCCTCATATGTGCTAAAAAATACGGCTTCCATGTATAACTATTCCCACAGTATTCGCATGTCATATATTTAACTTTCTCTTTATGGTGTTCCGTCACATGGATATGCCTTTGGAAAATGCCTACAAATTTTTCAGAGCAATACAAACATTTCACCGTACTTTCTTGTATATGCACTAAACTAACATGCTTCGCTTTATATTTCTCTAATTTAAACACTTTTTCACAGTAATCACACGGGTGATTCCCTATTTTATGAACATTCAAATGTTTATCTAAACGGCTCGCTGACAAAAAAGTATCTCCACACTCATAACATATATAATTGCTGTAATGATTGTTCATATGGCTGTCGAGATGACCAAAATTGTGAAAATTTTGCTTGCAAAGAAAACATTTGAGATCAGAGCTCAAAGCATATGGTATTATTCTGGTATAAGCCATATCAAACTCGAGGTCATGATTTACACCCAAATGGACAAACAGATTGTTCCAATCTGGCAACATTGTTAGGCAAATTTTACAATGTAAATCCTCTACGTCCAATTTAATAACTTCGTTCAACCATTGAGGTCTCATGTACATTTCTATTTTTGTCCACTCATGCGAGTGTTTAGCCCTCGTATGCTCTCTCAGTTCGTCAGTATCTTCAAAATTTCGTCCGTCTGTAGAACAGTAGAAACAATAATATCTAGTTGTTTTAGTTTTAAAAGGCACCGCTGTGGTGTGAGTGAGGAGGAGTTTAATTTCTTCTATTAATTTGTAATGTTTATCATTGGAATCCTCAGTTTGGCCTGCAAAGTAGAATATTTTGTTCAAATATTATACAATTTATATGGTATGTATAGAACTGCCGTTCTTATATATCTATACAGTTGAACAAAATTGAAGTGTCTCTGTTGTGTGTGTGATGTTAAAATAACAGCTTTTTTACTCAATGCATATGAAACTATGTACAATTCTTTGTAAGAAAAACACATGTTTTTTTTTGTCTGTTTGTTCCGGCTAATCTCCAAAACGGCTGTACTGATTTTAACGGTACTTTCACTGACAGATAGCTGATGTTATAAGGAGTAACTTAGGCTGTTTTTTTTAGAAAAAGAATTAGGGTTACATACAAAAAAATTAAAACCCACATAACTTACTAAAACAAAACTTACCGACACGTTCACGGTCTACATATGAATTAACTTTGACAGTCAAAGTTTTCTTGGGGATGCCATATTTTGTTGCCGCACTGGTACATGTCATAACACCGTTTGTAACCGCTTTTATAGCTTCCTTTAAATCATTTTGGGTGTACTGTTTGTATAGTTTTGTTAGTTCGTGTTTCTTTTTCTTCTTTGGCCATTTCCTTTGCAGGCTCGCGTTTGAGGCCCCCGGAGTTGAAGGGCCTGAACTTGTATTGTCAAATTCCGTCAGTTTTCTCATCTGTAGTTTATCTAAAAAGAGAGATTGAATTTTAAAAAAATTATAAAGCTATCATTCATTAGTAGAAAAGAAAAATAGGGGAGAAATCTTTGTATCTCTATTTTTTAAAACTAACAGCGCACTGTTAAATGAGTCTACGTGGATAGAAGACATTGAAATAATTATAAAAGTAAGGTAATGCCCTAAAGTGTCACACTTCCAAGATATTAGAAACTTTCATCCCCTATTTTACCCTCTTATGGGATTAATTTTTAAAAATGCTAAAACATGTATTTATTTAATTGTACTGAAGAGCATTAATACCAAGTTTCAAGTAATTCTGATCATAAATATTTTTTTGGGTTGTATTATAACGAGTTTTATCGTGGGAGATAATCTCCCGCGGTAAAAAGTAGCCTACGCCACTTTCTAGCCTTCCAACTATCTCCACCCAAAAATTATGCCAATCCGTCACTCTGTTTCGATGTGAAAGAAGGACAAACAAACAAACACACTTTCACATTTATAATATTAAGTATGGATAGTATGGATGTATGGAGCACCCAGAGCAGGTAATTACCACTCTTTATCTGCACAGGCTGTAAGAATGTTAATTAAAAAAAAATAACCTTCCTGTGCCTCTTCAACTTCCAGATACTCCACGTGCTGATACTCATCTTCAATTGGAACGTACTTCACCACCACCGGGTTTTCATCTTCAGTATCTATTTGGGGTTCTGCTTCTTCTTTAAATTTGACATCTGCTAATAATAGAATAAGAATAAAAAAAATGTCTGTGTGTACTTATGTAGACACATAAGTAGTTATACATCTTTGGCGTAACAGAACGAAAATAGCTTAAGATTTTATCCCGTGTGTCACTACTCTCTGTTTGTAAAAGGAATGATAAATTTTAATAAAAATAATTAAATAACGCATTTTACTCATATTACAATCATATATTTATAGAATATCATTTAGGTATTCAGACAATAACAATGGTTACCATGGCAACAAACAGTTATAAGCTAACTTCATCATGTCGCTTTTTGGCTGTCGGTGTGCGCGCGCATCGTAAAAAATTTACCCTCATTATTTTTTCCAAACGTCCCAAAAGAAATACCTATAACTTCAAAAATGAGATAGCAGATGATTCTAATTTTGTAAAAAGTGCCGGGAGATTGCTTATATCCTGGTGTAAAATGTTACCTGCCATTTTTTTATCGTCATATCTATCCTGTATAGAGAGCCAAAGTTATTAGCCATTAACTAGCGAATTACCCTCGCTTCGCTTGTGTGGGTCTTAGGTAGCCAGGTTTTGTTTCCAATTTGAAGGGTTTTAATTTTTTCTGTACAGAACCCTATTTCTTTATCCAAAATAAAAGTAAGCTAAGTGACTCTTTAAAACATCAGCTATCTTCCAGTGAAAGTCCCATCGGTCCAGCCGTTTCAGAGATTAGGCAGAACAGACAGACAAAAAATATAAAATAGTTTTTTTCTATATGTACTATTTATACTTCCATATGCATTTAGTAAACATTACACAACTGTTATTTTGACATTACAAACAGACACTTCTATTATTTATTTGTATAGGTAATAGATAATAATAGTGTCCTTTTGATTTGAACTTTACTAGTAGCATTAAATTAAAAAAAAAACATTTGTCATACCATTCAATAAAACATCTTCTACAGCCAAGATGTTTTTCTTGAAACTCAAAGCTTCACGAAGTTTTAGCACACAAAATTCACAAATGTGTTCAGGTTCGTCTGTCGGATACCACTAAAAATAAAATTTTAATTAATAAAAATATCATATTTAATTCTGAAATATAAATATTTAAAATAAATAAATAAAATAATAAAAAGTTTTTAACAAAAAAATAAAAATCGACTTCAAACAAAAGCACTAAAAAGTAAAAAATAACTGATTGGTAGTTTTCATTTACTATACATACTTCATCAAATATTTTCGAAGTTGGTGTGCTTTTCTTTGTATGGGCTGGCACCGATTTCGAAAATATTTGATTGGGTATATATTTAATATTTAGGCTTTAATTACTTAGCCAAAGCACACCAACTTCGAAAATATTTGATTAGGTATGTATAGTAAATGAAAACTACCAATCAGTTATTTTTTACTTTTTAGTGCTTTTGTTTGAAGTCGGTTTTTATTTTTTTGTTAAAAAGTTTTTATTTTTCCCTTTTTAGTGTGGACAGTAGTAGCAAAGTAAGAATTCCAACGTGTTAGGCTTGTCAAATCAAACAAAATAAACCCAAACTCAAAGTATCTACTATTAGCCGTTGAAGAGTTCCACCTATCCACCTTCTGGTCTCAGATCAGGTCACAATACCGCACCACTGCACTGCACAACTATCAACGGTAATAGAAACAATTGCAAAGTTTCAAGTCAATATGACAATTAGAAGTAGGTTAAATTCATCATTAGCTATTTTTCCACCCTTAGGGGTGGTATTTTTTTTTGAAATTTAAATGGGACCAATCTGGAAGTATACCCTTTCAAACAAAACAAAAATTGTCCAAATCGGTTAATAAATGACGAAGTTCTGAGGTAACAAACATAAAAAAAAAACTGTCGAATTGAGAACCTCCTCCTTTTTGACGTCGGTTGAAAATAGCCTTTAATTCTTTGACCAATGCTTATACCTAATTGCAAATTTTAAGTAAATGTACATATTATATTTTAATTTATAACATAAGCTTGACTTAATGTAACATTTTTTGAACTAAATAAATAATTTTGCCAATCAAAGCTAAAATATTTACTGGGCAGTACACACACCATTAAAATTCAAATCCTTATTACTATGTACATATAATATCTCTGGATGTCCATCAATCACCAATAAATTCAAAAGAAAATAGATTGTGTCCTATTTTTTTAATGTATTGGTCATGAAAAACTTAGCGTTGGTACAAGTGACCTAAGAGTCACAAAAAGTTGCTGTTACTGCATTACAGTAATATTTAATTCAAAAGGAATACATATTTATTAATTATTGTAGCAAAATGTCTGGGAAAGAAATTAAGTTTATAAAAGATAATTAGGTAATTTAAAAATATTAAGAAATGCAGGTTCTATCGGGTCTTTTATATGTATAAAATTAAGTCTATCTATGTATACTAGGAGGGTAAATCTAATGTAAAATCATAAAATATGCAAAATTTAAAAAGTCAATATAAAATGATATCACATTGTTGCGTAATTATATTGTGTTCAAAATAATATAAAAGTTTCAATAACTTACCGGTAACGCGAAACAATCAACCACCATTTGTCCATAAATTTCCTCTGTGCCATCATCACACTCATAAACTTCCCACAAGCTTTTCAAGTCATTATCATTTAAACAACACTTGCATCTACACAAATATTCAGAAAACGTAATATCATTTTCGTAATTCATTTTAAAGTTTATTTACAAACAATTCATTCAAAAATATTTTTTAGAAATATACGGCTTGGCAACTAGCCTTTTGCAAATTGACAAACGTGACCTAAGATAGTGATGTACTTCCGTTATGTATCGTCTAAATACACATATCGATAATTTGAAATATAGTTCGAACAAGTTTATTAGGAAAATGTAAAGAATTATTTATGTAACAAAATTGAACTTACACTTATATGTAATACCATTTTTTCATTTTTACATGCTATATTACGCTACTTTTAATAAAACGAAATTGTAGATGTAAAAATTAAACGCAATTCAATATTTAGTTTTATAATCTGTGAATTGTGATTATTTGACATATTGTTTGGGCTTGTTGGAATAGGAAGCTGTCGATTCTTAAAAACATAATAAATTATGATTACGATTATTTATAGTGAAATAATATATAAATAATGAAATATAAATTCAAGGTGTTGACGGTATTATATTAATAAATTGTGTTAGAACGCGAAATGGCTTTAATTAAGAATAACGGGGCTATTATAGACCCAGGTCTGTGTAGATGCTGTAGGGCTATAAAGAAATGCAGGATTATGACTTCGGAGTACACTTGGATGGAGAAAAAGGAAGTTTATGCTGATATGATTATGGATTGCTTTGGTATTCTTGTGAGTATTTAACCTGTTTTGATTTATTAAAAATAATAAATAAATAAAATAAATAAATAAGTACTGTAAGACATTAACACACAACATCATCTGGTTCCATGGTAAGCTACGAGGCTTATGTTATGGATACCAGATAGTTACTACATATATAATTTTATATACATATATATTATAAATATAAATACCCATGACTGGAGTGCAAACACTCGTGCTCATCACACAAATGATGCCCCCAGCTGGACTGCAACCCGCAACCGCTGGCTCATCAAGTAGGGTCACTACAAACAGAGCTAAACATGTCATTGATATTATTTATCTTTTAATTGTAATTTACGAACTATATTTCAAAAGTTAAATTTAAAGCTTTGTTTTTAAAATATTTTAATCAAAATTTATAAATATACAGTATCAGTCAATTAGAGTATTACATTTCATGTTAAAAATGAATTATATTTTTACTCTTGATCCATTGTTCCATAATCATATATTGAAATATGAATATTTAAATTACTACACATAATATAAAAAGGAAATCATATTATGTACCGAAAAGACACAGGAAGAAATCATAATTATTTATCTACGTAGAATTAATTTAACTTTTAAAAAACAGTATCACAACAGACTTGACTGACTGACTGACACAAGATTGATTATTCACCACTTATTGCCAGTACCCATACACACTATATACAGCATAGCTATTTTAAGAATGCATTAAATAATTATTTCTAATATGGGAAACCTTTAACACATAATGTGATATAAACACCTTTACAATATAAAAACTTTCATAATATTATATATTTCACTTCTAAGTTAAAAGTATGGCTTATAAATTTTTTTATATGTAATCAGTCATAAAATTAATTGATATAATATGTATTTTATACAAGTTACACTTTTAATAATAAAAAAAATGCATATTACTATATTTCAGCTATCTCATGTTGATGAGGATGTTAAGGATAGCGGTATTTGTGCAACATGCGTTGTACGACTACGTGACGCGTGTGCATTTCGCCAACAAGTTTTGCAATGTGAGGAATTGTTTTTAAATGCAAAACTGGGGGATAAAGATGGTAAGTGTTCTAAACTATGATTAATATAGATTTAGAGCTACAATCCCCCCCAACGTGCGTTTACCTTGTCGTGGGGGGGGCTCAGTAATGATGACCTAAGATAGTGATGTACTACCCTGCAATCCAACCGGGCGCGAAGCTAAGAAACGCACAGGGAGGTTGCCCACTTCGGTGGGCGGTGGGAGGTGGCCCTCTTCGGGGGGAGGTGTACCATGCGGGTTGCTCCTGGTACTTCTCTGATAGCAGAGTGGACCTTGGAGCAACCCCATGGTTGTGGTGGTCTGCTTCGGCAGACCTGCCGTCGGGGCGTCGTAGTTGAATGCGTAAGTTATTCCTGCGACGCCCCATTAAGACGGGGGAAGGTTTTGTTGGGTTTTAGTAAAAAAAAAAAGATTTAGAGCTACAATAAGATGGATTTGTGATTATATTTCGTGTGTTTACTGCATAGTGCTATTGTAGTAGTGGCATGCTATGTCAGTGTGCAGTGATCATGTGTTCTATATTATAAAATATAATGTAACCATTTATGCTCGCTTTCTTCTGGTACTAAATTTGTACAAAATTTAGGCGTGAAGGAGTTAAAAACATACAGACACATAAACAAATACATATGCATTTATATTAGTAGTGTAATATAATATTTAATATAATATTGTATAAGTTTAATTTCAAAGTATAATTTAAGATTATACTCCCTATTCATTTCATTTTCAATTTTTTATGAAGATATAAGTTACTATTTTTTATTTAACTTTAGAAACACACAATATAATATACAAGTCAAAAATATCATTCAATATTAAATAAAAAATCACTGTGTTAATATTTCAATTTTGCAGAGACAAAGAAAGATACAGAAATTGAGCTGAAAACTGAACCAAAAGATGATTGCAGTGAACACAGTTCGTCTAACGAAGATCATCAGGATATCATATCTTTAGATTTTCCATCGCATGTTGTTGAAGGTATCACACAATTACATAATATATATAATATTTAATTAGTATTATTTGTAAATTTAAGGCAGTGGCAGTCCAGTGGGAAACTGAGTGAAGCGGGTTCAAATCCCGGATCTCGCACCTGTGATATTTTTATGCGCGAATCATTTCCAACCATGGAGTGAGTTTTATAATAAAAAAGGGCCTGAAACAAAAGTTATATCGGCATCTCTATAACGAATAGCAATACGCCTTTACGTGTTAGAAGAATAATATTGATTTTTAGAGAAATGTAATTTCTAATGTATATATTATGTAATATTTCTATTAAATCATTCTTTTCCAGATGTAAAACCTCCCAAAACAGAAGATGAAGAAGACAAACTAAAAGTTGAAGAACCAAAAGAGATGCCCAAAGACATGGAGATCGATATCGATGATGTTGATGATGATGATGATTACCACGATGATTACTCCGGATCATCATCAGACTCGGATAAACCGATTAAAAGGAAAACAAAGGGTAAAAAAACAAAAACATCTAAAACAATAGGTACACCGAAAAAGAAGTTGTTGAAAAGTAAAGGGACCAAGTTGAAGAAATCAGGTATGTTACATTTTTCGTACTTTTTACTTTGGTAAAATTTAAATTCACTAAAATTATATTATTTAAAAAAAAATATAATTTTCCAATAATTAATCTATAAAAGTAAAAATGAATGTTGCTAAGAGCAAAACTCGAGAACGGCTCGACCAATTCAGCTAATTTTAATATCCCAACATATTTATAAAAAATATATATAAAACAAAGTCAAGTTAGTTACACCATTTATAACTCAAGAACGGCTGGACTAATTTTTATGATATTTGATTTTTTGGATTTCTCTTAGCCCGGAATATGATAATAAGTATTAAAACATCAGAAAAATTAACGAAAAAAAATATTCTAAGGCAAACCATGGCTAATAACTATTTATATCTATTTAAAATGTACTTAGTGACGAACCCGAGCACAGCGAGGGTGAGCCGCTAGTATCGTATAAAAAAGAATTTTTCTAACGTTGGTAAATACATTTACGCATACCACTTGCATGCATCAGGTGGTTATGTGGGACTCACCGACAAAGCTCGCATTACTCATGAAATCCCAACGGAACCTCTCCCGTCTTAATGAGACCACAATAAATATGGGATGGCTCCAACGGCCTACTCTGCTATCGGAGAAGTATCAGGAGCAACCCACATGGTACACCTCTCAGTGTGCCCCTTGGTTTCACACCGGCTGGATTACCGGATGCTAATGAGCCCCACCACCACGACAAGGTGAACAAACATTGGGGAGATGAATTCTTAACCTAACAACATATATCATATATAACAATATGACTAGGTGATCGAAAAATAGCTTCATGCTTCGGAATTAATGAAGTTTATTTGAAATATCAAAAATTAAAATGGTTTCAGAAATAGTGTGGTATAACATAGGACATTTAATTTGAAAAGGTACTTTAAAAAAAATATATTATTTCCAGGTTCAAGCAAAAAGTTGTTATCACCAAAATTGAAAAAACCTCCTGTCGAAAAGAAGAACACATACGATCGAGATCTTGACTGTATGTCAGAAGAGAATCTCCTCACCATCATACAGTATTCTTATGTATGTCCGTTTAAGAACCGAAGGAATAACTATTATTGCTTTTACTGTAAGGATTATTACCCGAAACCAGAAGACCTGAGGGAGCATACAGTTACCCACGACACCAAACCGTTTCAACTACTAATGGGATATAGGAAAATGCCTAAAATTGACATAACTAGAATTGACTGTCGGTTGTGCCCAATGAAAATTACTGACTTAGAAGTCTTCAAGAAACATATAGACCAAGTGCATGGAAAGAAAATATATTTTGAAGCCCCAGATAAGATGTTGCTGTACAAACTAACGTGGAATGACTTAGTTTGTCTCATGTGTAGCGACATCTTTGAAGATTTCAACACTCTTAACACCCATATGGTGGAACATTTCAGTAACTTTACGTGTGATATTTGTGGTGTGTGCTTCTTAGAGAAACCTCGTTTGGACGCTCATTTAAAACGTCATAAAGATGACGAGCGCCATACTTGTGAAGTGTGCGGTAAAGTGTTCAAATCAAATCATTACAAGGACATGCATGTAGATATAGTGCATAAAAAGAAAGCAATAATCCGTTGTCCACAGTGCGATGAGTGTTTTATGTCTTACGCGTTGAAAAATAAACATTTGACCGAAGCACACGGTCAAAAGCGTACGTATCCGTGTAATTTGTGTGATAAAGTGTATAATAGGCAGAAAACACTGACTGAACACCAGCGAAGGAACCACCAGAAGGTTTTGAAGCACCAGTGTGAGTATTGCGACCAGAGATTTTATCTGCCATCCCGTCTGAAAGAACATATAGCAACGCATACAGGTGAGCGGAATTTTAGATGTGAATTTTGTGATAAAAGTTACCCTCGTCTCAAGTCTCTACAATATCATATTCGTACACACACAAACGAAAGAAGATACAGATGCCATATATGCGGTCAAGCGTTCATTCAGAATGCGAGCTTGAAATCCCACATTAAAAGCCACCACCCCGAATGTGACATTGAGGGTTGTTATTTTTAATCACAATTTTAATAGATAATTATTTACATGGTCTAATTTGTTAGTGTGCTGATAGGTATGGCTTTGTTGTTATATGTAGAATTCTGTCAGCTTGGTACTCAGGCTAACTTTAAGGCTTTAAATGATATCAAAATATTTAATTTTTATTATTTTATCTATATATAAAATAGACACAAAAAGACTATTTAAGAAAACTTTTCTTTTTTATCTTATATATGATTCAACAGAACTCTTCATAAAACAACAGTATGGAATAGTATTGTACATGAGATAGTATAATCTAAGGTAATGTATGTAGAATGGAACAAAAATGAATATTTTTCATCTATCAACACATATTTATTAATTTTCCAAAACAAAATGCTATGACATAAAAGAAAACTAGTTGTGAGATTTGTACTTTAAAAGTTTCATGAATATCTTGCAGACTTCTATGTAACATATAGTTGTGATTGCTGCACCATTTTCAATTAAACTATAAAGTTTATTGAAACTCATTTTATTTATTTAATACTAGCGACTCCCCCTTGCTTCGCTCGGTACGGTCCGTCGATACTCATTACACACATTTTCATCTCCATTTTCATCCCCTTAAAGGATGATTTCCGGGATAAAAAGTATCCTATGTCCTTCGAAGGGTCTCAAACTATCTTTTTACCAAATTTCTTCCTAATTGCCTCAGTAGATCTAGAGATTATCCCCTACAATGTCACAAACTCACAACTCGCAAACTTTACCTCTTTATGATATTAGTATAGATTTGGTCTCTTTTAAGCTTTATTTAATATGCAAACCTTATTATAATCTTTATAGATTGTATCTACTTTCCCAATTCATGGTACATGAAACAAATCATATATAAAATCATTTTGCTCAATGCTCTACTTGCATTGGATATCAATAAAAAATTAAGTTAGATTTTTGTTAATCGGGATACATTTTGAGATTGTCATTCCATAGAATCCTAAAATTTATTAGGTAAATGTAGCAAAATTATGTAAAAATACTCAAACTCACAATTTTCGTATTATAAATAATATTACCGTGAATGTTCTGGTTACAATATTTATTTGAGTAATGAAAAAATAAACAAAATATTATAGGTGTAAAGGAACAATTAGATTTGAATATTTAAGAATTTAAAAATATTCAATATCCCGGACATGTTTTTTTCATTACTCATCTGCCTTTATACCTGTGATATGCACATCACTATTGTATCTTTATTGTTCAACATGTCATCCAGCCCTTTTTTAAAGTCCCAGTGCTGGGGTGGGCCTCCCTTTAGTACGAGGGGAATCAGGCTATAGTCCACCACGCTGGCCTAGTGCGGATTGGCGGACTTCACATGTCTTTTGAAAACTTGCTAGGTTCTCAGACAAGCAGGTTTCCTCACAATGTTTTCCTTCACCGTTAAGGCAAGTGGTGATCATGTTGGAAATGATGCGCACAAGAAAATATCAGAGGTGCGAGACCCGGGATTTGAACTCGTTTCACTCGGTTTCCCAAGCGAGCGCGTTACCACTGGGCTATCACTCACATTGTTCACAGTTCACAGTTGTTCAACATACGACGGAATAGAAATATATATGCTTTAAAAAATACTTCAATCATCACAATTGAACAAACAGAGACTTATGATATACCTACCTGTTTTATATTTTAACATTTAGTATTATATGTAATTAGTTAAGTACCTTATTTTAAAATAAATGTATTGAAATTATTATGTAAGATTATTTTAAATTATTAATTTTTTAATTAAAATATTTTTTAAATATTGTAGTTTTATTTGTTAATAGACTGAGTTTTATTAAAGATGAATTTCAAATTTAGTATGATTACGTGGTAATTGATTTTAATCCATCCAACAATGCTAAATCTATTGAAATTAGAAAATGTTTAATATATCTTTTATAACTTTCGTAGAAAATTTAGCATTTTTATTAAGCATTTAAAAAGTATATTTTTGATGACAAAATTATTCATGTCTAGCGACTTACCCTCGCTTTGCTCGGGTTCACCTCTAGGAAAACAAAAACAAACCTATCCCCCGGATTTCCGGGATAAAAGTAGTATATGTGTTATTCCAGACTATAATCTATCTCGGTGCCAAATTTCATCCAGATGCGTTCAGCCGTTCTGGCATGAGAGAGTGATAAACATCCATAATCACAAACTTTCACATTTATAATATTAATACAGATTTAATATTCTATAAACACTTTTTTTAGCGTAACGATTATTATCGATAAATAGAGAACATCACTAAGAGCATCACTGTTTCAATGCAAAAACGAAACGCTTACATTAAAATATGTAAACTGTCAAATATTTGACATTACGTTGGATAATTTCGATTGACAATTGGCATTTGACAAATTGTTTTAGAAAATGCAACTTTTTAGTTCGTTTAGGTGTTTTTTAATTTAATTTTATTATATTTTGAAATAATGGCAGATACTAAGGCAAAGAAAAATAACGGGCCTTTAGTAAACCCTGCTCTATGTCGTTGTTGTCGTTCAATAAAGAAATGTCGCCTATTAACTGCAGAATACGAGTTTATGGACACGAAGGAAGTGTATTCAGATATGTTTATGGATGTTTTTGGTCTTCTCGTAAGTAAATATTGTTTTAAATTTTTATTTGAAATGTAGTAAAGTCATTATAGGTACCGGCTCACCCTCTTTTCTCTCGGGTTCGTCCCTGGGTACGTATTGTCGGTTGGTATGGAATAGATAGACTATATATTATATTACTGCTCCGCTCCCTTGGGTAGTAGCATGATGATAATATAATTAGCTTTCCTCAATAAACAGCCTATCTAATGCTAAAAGAATTTTTTGAATTGAATTTGTAGTTCCTGAGATTAGTGTGTTCAAACGAACTCTGCCTTTTTATAATATTAAATATAGATTTAAATAGAATCATCGAAGAGGAGATCTGTACCTGGCCAGCAATGTCTAAAATATTGATATGTGTATACTTTTTATGGTATTTATTGCAAAATAATAATATATGAATATGTCATGTAAATAACAAAAAGAACATATTCTCTGTCTCTCTCTCTTTTATGAAACAAACATTACTTCAGTTTAATATTACTTAAAAAATATTTAATATTATATTTTTAGCTATCGCATCTAGATGGCGAGAGCAAAGATTCATGTATTTGTGCAACATGTGTGTCGCGGCTTCGTGAGGCTTCTGCTTTTAGGAGGCAAGTCCTACAGTCTGAACAGATGTTCCTTGAAGCAAGATTGCAGAATAAAGATGGTATTTAAATAATTTTTACAGACGAAATTATTATAACAAATTAATAATTAGAAAATGATCTATCAACATATAGAAGTTATGTGAGCATTTTTATATGAAATTTAAAACTTGGTATGTAACACATTGTAAAAGTAAGGAATTTTCTTCTTGTAGACGGGTTTAAGTCCCAGAGTTATTAAATTTTCTGTTAATGAAGCTGTACTTACGTTTTGTAGAAACATTTATTGAAATAATATATTATCATCATGAACGAATTAACCACTGGACCAGACATATAAGCGGACGTACCTTTAACGGTCATGTCAGTAACCAGGGAATTTTAGCCTAGGTCGTTTGTTTCTTGTGTCAGTCGCAAGCACTTACTTGTCAACGAAATATCTCCCAAAAATGACTAAATGTTCTGTTAAATGGTGTAAAAACTATAACGGCGGAAGCAGCACTATTTCTTTTCACTTGTAAATACATTATTTTATTACATTGATTGTTATTTATCACAAAATTTAATTAAATGTAAAATAAAATGTCATATTATCCAACTATGTTAAATATAGTCGATATTTCTATGTATTGTTGACATCTGACAACCATCATAAACGGGCTGGATTATACCATTCAGAACAAATGACAAAACTGTCGAGTGAGTCCATTTGACATCGACTAGTGCTTGACAATGTCGAAAAATATATCGATATTTGACGAAATAACTAAACGAATTGTGTTATTTGTACAGTACAATAACATAAAATACTTTTACCACAGTATCCTACAATCTGATGACAATAAATTTATAAAAATATTTTCTAAATCAAATAAAAATATAAATGCAAACATTATAATTAGTATGTGTACTTCATTTTTTATTTTAGTTTATACCACATTTATATACTTTGGAATATTTTTCCATTGTAATAATAATAAAGATCATTTTATTTCAACACATAAATTACACAAAATCAAACAATAATGTTTTAGCACTAAACTTCTGGGTTGGCGATTTGTAATAAAACACTTTACCAATTATTACTTTCACTAATTATTTTACTTTCACGATCCAACACTCACTTTTTCACAATTTGCAATCACTTTTTCTTTTTCCTAATTTCACAAATGTTTATTAATAACTGAGCAATAAGGACAGTGTCACATTTTTATAATATTATAACTACCCGAGACAATCAATTGCTAATTAAAATATTTAATTAACAGAATCAACAAAATCACTTTATTTAATTAGCTTAATATTTTTTTAATCTTTACAAAATAATATTTATTATATATTAATGGAATATACACCCGATATTCATTTGTTTATTAATATTATTATAGGCCAACAGAATGTTGCCATCAATGCCATCGTATTTATATAAATCAAATTAAAAAATAATTATTATTTGACACATTATTATGGCCTCTTTAATTCATTTATTTTAATTTATTATAATAAATACAGATATTTTAAATTAAAAGATGTAAAATATGATGACTATGCTAACCAATGTCTAAAATGTCATTTATTGGTTCATCGATATATGTATTTTATTGATTACGTTCAAACACTAGAAATATTGTATTGTGTATCAGTGTTTATAATAATGTAATAAAATCTTTGTGTGCGTTATGCGTCACTTGGTTGAACTAGTTTTCATACATTTGTATTTTATGTCAGGTCCAGTCTCTAATTCGTCCATGATTATCATATATTTGGTATCACATTAATACCTAAACTATTTTTAGTATGCTTATGTTTGTTTCTTTTTCACACTATAGAATAGGGAATATTAAAAAAAATACCCAGCTCCAATAAACTAAAATTTAGTAGGTACCTATAAAAAAAATATATCATACCAATATGTACTTATACTTTAAACACTCGCCATTTCGCGCGCTTGGTGTGACGTCACAGTATAATACATAGGAAAATTAAGTTTGTAGCGACAAAGTCGCTAATGGCTCTGTTATGATAATATTTTGACGTCATATGCGGCCTTTTTTTTTTTTTTTTAACGTTGGGAAATGCATTTACGCACGACGTGTGGGACTCACCGGCGTAATACAGCCAGTACTACCCACTAAAACCCAACAAAACCTTCCCACGTCTTAATGGGGCGTCGCAGGATCGCTTACGCATTCAACTACGACGCCCCGACGGCAGGTCTGCCAAAGCAGACCACCACAACCATGGGGTTGCTCCAAGGTCCACTCTGCTATCAGAGAAGTACCAGGAGCAACCCGCAAGGTACACCGCCCCCCGAAGAGGGCCACCTCCCACCGCCCACCGAAGTGGGCAACCTCCCTGTGCGTTTCTTAGCTTCGCTACTACTACTGAGCCCTCCCACCACGACAAGGTGAACGCACGTTGGGGGGGACGTCATATGCGGCCTGACCTATGGCGTGCCTTTCAACTACTTTGAATTTCCTACCTATATTTGCACTGTTTAATAATTATTTTCTTAATCAAAAAGAAATTACATTAAAAAATATTCATATAGGCTTAATTCAAAAGCAGTAAAGATTATAAAAATATATACATATATTTATATATATTTCACCTTCATTTAAATCACACGCATATTCCGTACTAGCAATGCCCGCGGCTCCGCCCGCGTTCAGGTGGCCAAAAACCAAATTCTTAGGTTTTACGTATTACTAGTATACTCTTACTTTGCAGTTTTTATATTTTTTCTCAGAAATGAGACATTTTCCCGTCGTTAAAAGTATCCTATATGCTGACCCGGATAACCAGCTATCACCATACCAAATTTCATCAAAATCCGTCCAGGGGTTTTTCCGTGATGCGGTAACAGACAGATAGACAGACATAAACTCTAAAAAGTATAGATTCATCCTCTGTATCGATAATAATGTTTATTTAAATAAGATCTTCAAAAAATATCTAATGTACGGATTCAGCTTACAATTTTATTATTATATGTATAGATTATTATGGCTTACATATCTAGCATAGACTCAGCCTTGTATTGACTTATATAACTTCTATATTAAAACAACTAACCCTATGTACATCATGTTGTATAAAAATTTATTTATTTCATTATATAAAAGTAAAATGCACTGATGATGCTCATATCTTGAGCTGATTTATTTTCATATCAATACAAATGTGTGTCAACAGTGCTTTAAAAAATCGTAGTGTGTACAGGCCATTAGTCTTACAATTTTTTTATATTATTGAAATTCCCTCTGACATTATAACTTTTATGCAATTTTAGAAAATGAACACATTGTTAAGAGTGAAATTAAAACGGAACCTGTCTGTGAGTCCGATACACCTGATATGGCAATGGATGACACTTCCAATGACCATCACGGTAATGTAAATTTGATAACAAATATTTGTAGTAGTTTCTACCATAATTATAAATTGTATTTTTTTATAAATCAATTACTTTTTATAAAATAAATAGCCACTCACCTACGCTTCACTCGTATTCGTACCTCGATACGTTTTAATGGATTAGACGACAGGTTTGGCTCAGTTTGTAGTGCCACTACTTGCTGTCCCAGCGGACGCGGGTTCGAGTCCCGCTGGGTGCATACACTTATGTGATGAGCATGAGTGTTTGCACTCCAGTCCTGGGTTTTTATAATATGTATGTATTTAAAGTTACATATGTGTAGTGTATCAACTATCTGGTATCCATAACGCAAGCATCGTAGCCTACCATGGAACTAGATGGTGTTGTGTGTTAATGTCCCAATATTTATTTATTTATATTTTAATCGTTTTTGTGTTTAAATTTTAGATATCGATAGTATAAAGGCTCATATGCAAGAAGCCACAGATAACAAACCTAAAGATCGAAAAAAGATCAGGAATGGACAGAAAAGTAAAATAAGTAAGGAATTGAGGAGTAACAAGAGCTTGCGAGTGAAGCTGGACACGCTGTTGATGACCAGTAAATTAATATTTTCCTTATTTATTGAAACTTCACAGTATCACCCACTAGTCTGAAGATTACCTGGAAATCTATACATATGAATAAAATTAAAGTGTCTATTTGTAATGTCAAAATAACAGCTTTTTACTACATGCATATAAATTTACTAGTATTGCCCGCGGCTCCGCCCGCGTTCTGACCAAAAACCAAGTTCTTAGGTTTTACATATTAGTATACTCTTACATTGCACTTTTTGTATTTTTTCTCAGAGATGAGATATTTTCCCGCGGTAAAAAGTATCGTATATGTTGACCCGGATAACCAGCTATCATCATACCAAATTTCATCAAAATCCCTCTAGTGGTTTTTCTGTGATGCGGTAACAGACAGACAGACCGACAGACAAAAAATTCGAAAAACTAGATTAGACCTCTGTATCGATAATAATGTCTATTTCAATAAGATTTTCCTAAAAATATTTAATGTACAGATTCGGCTTAGTTACAATTTTATTATATGTATGATGTATGTATGATACTTATAAGAAAAACACAATTTTTATAATTTTTGTCTGTCTGTCTGTTTGTTCCGTCTAATCTCCGAAACGGCTGAACCGATTTTAACGGGGCGGATGTTATAAGGAGTAATTTAAGCTACTTTTATTTTAGAAGTAAAATCAGGGTTCCGCGCACAAAATAATATGAATGAATAGTAATATAATTTGTGACTTTTTCAGGCTGAAATCCAAATAAGTTGGTCTTTTTTAATGTGCCATTTTTAGTTATCGTTAGTTTCGGCGAGAGTTGTAGCTAGATGTAGGAAAAATAACAATAGGTATAATCTCAATCAGGTTGTACAAGAGTTAGGGTCGCGAGATCGATTCCCATAAATGCCTATATTTTTTATAAGAATATTAATATTATTATTTATTTTAAAAATCATTTACCACAAAATGTTTAGTAAAAAAAAATTCTTTTAATAAAATATTTTTTTATAAGCTACAAATTCTATTCCCAAGCTAAGGAAAAAATTATTTTTCGTTTCACCCTACTACTTACTAATAAAAAAATGTGTGTGTGCTCTTATGTAACGTAAGAAGTTATATTTCTTTGGCGTAACAGAACAAAAATAGCTATAATATATCCCGTATGTCACAACTCTGTTTGTAAAAAAAAACAGCTAACTTTATCATGTCGCTTTTTGGCTGTCGGTGTGCGCGCGCATCGTAAAAATTTTACTCTCATATTTATTTCTGAACATCCCAAAAGAAGTATAACTTCAAAAATCAAAGTTATGAGCACCAATGAGATGTTAATGACATGTTACTGTGTTAATGAGATGTTAGACTCTTATAATTATAACATATTAAAAATTATTAAATATTGTCATCATTTATATTATTTTATCTCTTTTTTATAGATGGACACCCAAAAAAGATGTCAAAAGAGATCATAGACCATGACCAAATGGCCTATTCCAACACGGTCACCATAGTCCAGAATTCATTCGTCTGTCCATTCCACAACCGCATCAGCATTTACTATTGCTACTATTGCAAAGACCAGTTCACTAACCCGAGTGAACTCAGAGAGCACACGCTCACGCATGACCCAAAAGAATTATTCGAAGACACAACAGAAAACAAGAAAATACCAAAAATCGATATAACAAGAATCGATTGTCGACTGTGCACAGAAAAAATCGATGATCTGGAAACATTCAAGCGTCACATCACTAGTGTCCATGACAAATCGATTTATCCCATCACTAACGAGTTCCTGAAGTTCCGTTTGACGTTAAACAACTTGACGTGTACAGAGTGTGATAGTGTTTTTCCATATTTCGATTCGTTGAAAAAGCATATGATCGATCATTTTGGTACGTTTACTTGTGATATATGCGGTACTTGTTTTCTGGAACAGGCTTCGCTTCGAACTCATATAAAATCTCACAGCAAAGTGGATGTTAATTTTCCATGCGAAATTTGCGGCAAAAATTTGAAATCTAAATACAGTCGAACGCTACACGTAGCTACGGTGCATGAAAAAAAACCTTTTGTTAATTGCTACAAGTGCGAGGCAGCTTTTCTGTCTTATGCTTTGAGGAATCGCCATTTAATTGAGGTCCATGGTGATAAACGAACATTTCCCTGTAAATTATGTGATAAAGTGTATAACAGAAGGAAAACTCTTATGGAACACAACAGACGGAATCATTTGAAGGTGTACAGACACCAGTGTGATTTGTGTGATCAGAGATTTTATTTACCTTCTCGTCTGAAAGAACATATGGCAACACACACCGGAGAAAGGAATTTCAGATGTGAATTTTGTGATAAAAGTTATCCCCGACTTCAATCTTTGCAAGAACATATAAGGACTCATAATAGTGAAAGAAGACTTAAATGTGATGTGTGCAACTCGACTTTCACTCAAAGTGGCAGCTTAAAAACCCATATGAAGAGTCATCATCAAGTGTTTGAATTGGACGGGAGTTTTAATTGAGTTTCAAAAGGGCCATTTATAAAATATGTTCGCAAATAAGAGTGATATGTTTGTATGGAGAAATGTTTATAGCTTATATTGACCTTATATTCATCAAGATGTTTTTCAAACCTGGTTCTTTCGTTGCTGAGATTTCCTGATTCTAAGAGAATCAAAAAACTATTAGATACACAATCCCATGCAAAAGTTCTCTTAAAACTGTCACCAATTGTGTTTAGATAATTATTCTTGTTAAAATATACAATAATGTAAATTGAACCTTAAATGCAATGCTTAAAGTTGTTTTCACAAAAAAAAAAATTGAAAGTATGCTTAAATGTTCAAATCAGCGCAGCGCTCATTTGGTGAGGACTTTTGTCGTTGATTGTGTATCTAGTACTTTTTTGATTGATAAAGAGAACATACATAGTGTTTGAAATACTATAGTATAATCCTCCTCTAATGAAAGGAGTCTTGTTAGTGATTAGGGAATTCTAGGAAATATGATATCGAAAGATGGGGAGGAAAAGGTTCAAATAATTGAATTTTAAGTGAAGTATTTTATGAGTGACTCAAATAAAAGATCTGCCATAAGGTTGTATTCAGCTCTTTTTAACGTCCCGCTGCTGGGCGTGAGCCCCCCTTCAATGCGAAAGGGATCAGGCCATAGTCCACCACGCTGGCCAAGTGCGGTTTGGCGGACTTCACATGTCTTTTGAAAGCTCCTCTCGATGTTTACATTCACTGTAAGACAAGTGGTAATCATGTTAGAAATGATTCGCACATGAAAATATCAAAGGTGCGAGACCCGGGATTTGAACCCGCTTCACTCGGTTACCCAAACAAGAGCGTTACCACTGGACTACCACTGCCTTTGGTATAAGTTATTATATCCAAAAGCTTCTGTGAAGCTGTGTTAGACAGTTGTAAATAATAAATATGTACAGAAATTTTAGTTAAGATTTATGAGATGAGTACTGAAGTATAGTCCAATTAAAAGATAATTTTATTCTGTTATCTTTTATTTTTAAATGTAAGAGATAGCAACAGAAAATTCTCAGTAATTTGGAACATTTTAAAATGTCAAATAATCGCGTAAATCTAAAAAAGTACTGTATTGGATGATTAATGGTACTTTGGATTTATTATCGATTCTAAAGTATTTTATTATACAAAAATTCTTTTATAGTTCTGAAAAAATAAATAAACAGAATATGTACTTCTTCGAAAAAGGAGAATGATTTGTTACCTCCATGATAGTCCATAGTATAGTGTTGCCATATTACAAATGATTGAGAATTTTTTGTCGCAGTCTCTCTTTGAACGTTTTAGATCAATTGTGCCAACTTATTATTAGTTTTTAATATCCTAAGGCCCCTCCAAGATACTTCAATGTAGAATTATTGTAATTTATATTGTAACTAGGAACGAACCCGAGCACAGTGAGTCGGTAGTTACATTTTAACGTTTAGTATAGACTTCTCAGAGATGAGATATTTTCCCGCAATAATAAGTATCCTACATGTTGACCCGGATAACCAGCTATCATCATACCAAATTTCATTAAAATCCCTCCAGTGGTTTTTCTGTGATGCGGTAACAAACAGACAGACAAAAATTCCATAAAATATAGATTCGGCCTCTGTATCGATAATAATGTTTATTTCAATAAGATTTTCCAAAAAATATTTAAATGTACAGAGTCGGCTTAGTTACAATTTTATTATATATATAGATAAGCAAGCAAAGGAACGTATGGAATGTGTTCATAATGTATTTGATAACGAAACTTGTCGACATTTTAATGCATAAAAGGTGATGTGAGTTGTTTAAGTTTTAAACAATTCAATAAATAAAAACTCAAAAACTAGTTCCAAAATATTTTTTAGGAAATATGTATTTAAGTTTTTATATATTAACGGCTTCAACTTCAACTTTATATGAGTTTTTTAAATGCCTTTTATCTTGTTTGTGCTCGATCTCTATTTATGAACTGAATGTTATTTATTTGTATGTATGAATTATTGTAAATAGTGTACGAAATTGAATAAATGATTAATTAATTAAATCATTTTGTTTTTTTTTAAAGTTATACTTCTTTTGGGGACGTTTGGAAAAAATGTGAGAGTTAAATGTTTACGATGCGCGCGCGCACCGACAGCCAAAAAGTGACATGATGAAGTTAGCTGCATTCCTTTTACAAACAGAGAGTTGTGACATACGGGATGAAATCTTTAGCTATTTTTTTTCTGTTACGCCAAAGAAGTATGACTTGTTACGTGCGTACATACAGTACACACACTCGTTTTTTTCCATGAAAAACCGAAGCTATATGTTAAGCTATAAAATTTTAGTTAACGGTTTTAATCGGTAGAGCATGAAGTTAGAATTTGATCTTTTTGAGGAAAATCCTAAGAAGTTAATAAAAAGGTGACTAAAAAATCATATATTCCAGGCCAAGTTTACCCTGTGTTCTTTCTAAAGCTAATTATATTCATTTACTAGCGACTCACCCTCGCTTCGCTCGGGTTCGTCCCTATATTGATTCTTCATACAAATTTTCATCGCCATTTTCATCCATTCAAGGGATGATTTCTGGGATTTATTTATTTATTTATTACATAGGTCGCTAACATCCTTACAATTGTACATAGTAATAAACAAAAGAAGATCTAGTCTAAATGATGCCCTAATTATAAGCAACACTGCATTCTAATAAGACAACAACATTGTAACTTAATAATAATAGCTTACATTAGTGAGCAAAAATAAAATTGAAATTAAAGTTAACAGTAACTATATACTCAAACAAAAACTTATAGATGTGTTTTTTTAATTAATAATAACAATAAACAATTAACCATTGTTAGTGGAATGAAAAAGCTTAAGTTTTATGGTATTCATAAATTTATAAAAAGAATCAGAAAAAATATCGATATTATGACTTGAGCAATAAATATAATTAAGTATAATTGATATTGATAAAGAATATAATGAAATATAATTGAGCAATAAAAATAATAAAAAATAGGGATAAAAAGTATCCTATGTACTTCCCAGGGTCTCAAACTATCTTCTTACCAAATTTCGTCTGAACCGATTTGTTCAGTAGATCCAGAGATTACCCTCTACAACGTCACAAACTCACAAACATTACCTCTTTATAATATTAGTATAGAATATATTATAGTTACATTGGCATACATACTCTTTTACACAATTACAAGTATTGTAAAGAAATATTCATTTAAATATTTCAAAAAGAGCAATTGACGACAAAAAGCTTTCCGAAAAACGAAGATTCTCTGACAATGAGAGTAAGTAGTTCGTAATTCATCAAATCGTTGTCTGTGCTTATTTATCCAACCGACCAATTTGTATGTCTGTGAATGCATTACGAGAAAACCACTGGACAGATTTTGATGAAATCTGGCATGATGATAGCTGATTATCCGGGTCAACATATAGGATACTTTTTACTACGGGAAAATATCTCATCTCTGAGAAATCTATACTAAATGTTAAAACATAAGTAGGGACGAACCCGATCAAAACGAGGGTGAGTCGCTGGTGTAAAACAAAATATGTATATAGAAAAATTGTTCATTTAATATTTCAAGATACTATTATATCACATATTTAGACAAAGAATAAAACAAGTAAAATTATTAATTTTTTTTTTATTCGATACATATAAACAGTTAGCTATACTCCGGGTGCTGACTTTTCATGTGTCCTTTCAAACTGCAATTCTGTATGAACGCTTGTCCACATATATGACATCTGTACCTCCTGTCGTTTGTGTGTATCCGTATATGGTCTTTTAGGGTTTTGAGTCTGGGATAGGTTTTCTCACAAACTTTACACTTGAAGTTCCTCTCACCGGTATGCGTTGGCATGTGGTTGGTCAGAGAGAAACGAGTAAAGAATTTCTGCCCACAAAATTGGCATTCATATCTAAAACAAGAAAATTACACTTATCTATATAGATAGATTGATTCCCAATACAAACTTTCATCTCCATTTTCAACCCCTTAACGAATGATTTCCGTGATAAAAAGTATCCTATGTCCTTCCCAGGGATAACTCTCGTCATCTAAAAAGAACGCTGGCTGTCAAGCTGCGCAGAAGCGATTTATCGGTCAAATTGGTAGTAAGTCAGTTCGAAAACCATCGCGCACACAAAAGTTTTTAATTACGAAATGGTTTTATATATAGAAAAGAGAAAAAATATTTTTGACGTATATTGTTTTACAAAGAGAGAGTCTAATAATAATGCAGTTAATAATAAAAAATTTTTTTGTAAGTAGATTAAACATTCTACACTGAATCAAACATATTTTAATAATGAATAGAATTCTATTTAATGATATTCTATCTAATATATTTTTCAATGTCTCTACCAGTAACTAATATATGAAGCCGCGAGCGAAATGCTATGAAAAATAAAACGCAAACATACCCTCTCCACTTTCTTCCAGCGTTCTTTTTAGATGACGCGAGTGAGTTATATCAAACTATCTTCTTAGCAAATTTTATCTAAATCGGTTCAGTAGATCCAGAGATTACCCCCTACAACGTCACAAACTCACAAAGTTTACCTCTTTATAATATTACTATAGATAAATAAAATTGAAGCGTCTGTGTAATTTCAGAATAACAGCTTTTTACTAAATGCATATGAAAGTATATACGGTACATATAATAAAAAAAAAACAATTTTTTTGTCTGTCTGTTTGTTCCGGCTTATCTCCGAAACGGCTGGACTAATTTTGACGGGACTTTCACCGGCAGATAGCTGATGTTATAAGGAGTAATTCGGTGAGGACATATTTTGTCGCTGATGGTGTATTTAAATATAATACTTTTTTGATCAACGCTAGTGACACAAAACTTACCTATAATCCTTCAAATGTTCCTTCCGTCTGTGTATAGTCAGCTTGCGTCTGGTCTCACATACCCGGTCACAGAGGTTGCATGGAAATGACAGGGGCTGTTCTCCGTGCACTTCCACCAGGTGTTTCAGCTTTTGAGGGTATGTCATCAGTCTCACATCACACTTGGGGCAGTATACCCTACCTGGAACACAAAACTAATATTATAATTACCCTTCCTATATCTATATATATAATAAAATTCTGAGTCGAATCTGTACATTAAATATTTTTTAGGAAATCTTATTGAAATAGACATACCGGTATGAAAAGTATTTAAAATGTTGAGATATAAGATGGGGATATAAGATACCACCATGCAAAATTTCGTTTAAATCGGTCCAAAAGTTTCAGTGATTAGCCCGTACAAACAGACAGAGAAAAAAAAATTGAAAAAAAAACTAGATTTGTTCTATTTTTCTTCTTACACCCCCAGACTCCGTTTTTAGCATCTTTTTCTATGTACAGACATTCGACCTCTACAGTTTTATTATACATACATAGATTATATTTGCTCCAAGATATAGAAGGTGATCATAAAAATATAAAACCTCACCTCTTTTCTTATGAACTCTATCAACATGCAACTCCCTATTGTACTGTGCCTTGAACACTTTCCCGCACACTTCACAGGGGAAATCCCCTTCTTCATGCCTTTGCTGGTGCATTATAAACCTGCCCCTATCTACAAAACCTAAGCCACAGGTCTCACATACATAATTACTAAAATGTTCGTTCATATGTTTGTTCAAAGCATGAAAATATGGAAACACCGAGTCACATAAAGCACACTTTAATTCACTATTGAGTCTGAACGGCAGAATTAAATCTCGATTGTTGAAATAATATTTCTTATGATGAACTGTTGTAATGTGACGTTTGTACGTTTCTAAATCATCGATTTTCTCCGGACACAATCGACAATCGATTCTTGTTAAATCGATTTTGAGCATGTTTTTGTGTTCCGTGATCTTGAATTTTTTTGGATGGTGGGCGCTCATCGTGTGGTTTCTGAGTAATTGTGGGTCAGAGAAGTTTTCGCCACAGTAGAAGCATAGCAGGTGGTTATGTCTACATTTGAACGGGCAGACATATGAAAATTCAACGATTGTTAGAATGTTTGTTTCGGTTATGTACGACGGGTCTCTTTCTCTCATTCTCTGTTGAAGTTTTGACATTGGTATCACTGAAACAATGAAATATTAATGGATAGACTGAGATTATATAGAAATTTTAATAAATAAACCTAAGCTATATAGAAATCTAAATGAATAGACTATATCTAATATATTTAAACGAGCAATTCTTGTATGTATGTATATATATGTACTGAATCTCGGAAACGGCGCCAACGATTTTAATTAAATTTAGTATACAAGGGTTTTCAAAGGCGATAAATTGATCTAGATTAGTCTTGTCTTGGAAAATGCGTGTTTTCGAGTTTTCATGCGGTTTTGTTTTGCATTATTCCACGCAAAATATGGTCGTTAATTCGCACGCTAGGACATAAATATCGTAGTCAAACGGCCAAGGCGCAAGTTTGACAACCACAGGTGTCTGGGTTCGTATCCTGGTCAGATACAAAGCTTTTACTTTTGTTTTTTTTTTGTATTTCTTCAATTTTTTAGTTTCTTTTTTTTAAATCTTAATTTGGCCAAAAACTCCGAGCGAAGCTCAGTCGCCAAGATACTAGAAATCTTATGTGAGTCAGATTCACGTTTTAACATCCTACTGCTGGGGCTGGCAAAGTGCGGGCGGACTGAGCATGTCTTTCGAACTTGCTAGATTCTCTCAGACATGCAGATCTCCTCACGATGTTTTCCTTCACCGTAAGACAAGTGGTAATCATGTTGAAAATGAATGGTTTGAACGACTAAACTATACTAACTCGGCCTATCAATTATTTTCCTGGTAACATTTCCATTAGGTATAACATCTTCGTTGACTTCTGGAACAACGTTATCACTTTGCAATTTATTAGATCTGTCTGCTATTTGGTTTAGTGGTATATCATCATTTGAACTGTCATGAGCCTCCAATTTTATATCATCTGAAAAAAAAATTGTACTGTAATAGTCTATGACCTAGTTATATAGAAATTAAAAAAGCATAAACTATAAATTAACATGATATATATATATATATATATATATATATATATATATATATATATATATATATATATATAATTGATGATGATGCAGGGCTGCTATATCGTACAATTGGATATGAAAATTGTAAAATATGGTTATTTTAAGTTATTACATATTTTTATTCAAATTTTTTATTCGTCACAGGCTACTTCTCAACAGTTTTGTTAATTTGTATAATAAAATTTGTTTTGGTATAATTTCAGTGACCTAGCGGTATAAAATAAATTGGCTCTACTGGCAGCAGTTGGCTCTACTGGCAGCATTTGGCTCTACTGGCAACCCTGATGATGATATTCTCCCGACCAATTTCGGCCACCTCGGCCAATCTTATTGAGAGTAGCCTGTCTGCACGAGATATTATAGTGCAAACCCAATGTGCACTCTCTGTTCCTGTCACTCTAATACTCCGGTGTGATAGCTGCTCGACACAATTGATTATCTCAGAGTGCTATAGGCTCTAAATTATATTTGTATTTTTTTGTTTTAACTAAACTGTCACCTTTTTTGTTTAATATAAACAGCTTTTTAATAACATATAAGTATTGAGTAGGCATCTCCTCCATCATGTGACATTGGCAAAGTAATCTGTGCTTAACTTAAATTGAATTGATTTGGTTAAATATCTATACTTACAGCTTTCATCAGCTAACATATCTCTTAAGGGTGAACAATATGGAGCTTCTATAGAATCTAAGTCTTGAGGTTCGGTTTTCACTTCCACTTCAACTTTTGACTCATCATTTTGTGGTTTTGTATCTATTTCTATTAAATTTCAAAATACCTATTATAAATTATAATATGTTTGTTCTAACAAAAGGTACATTAAAGTTTAAATTATCACTTAACCATAAACAAACAATGTAAGTTTATATCCTTTAGAAATAAAAAACAACAAATATCGTAAGGTACTTTGGTGCCATTATTGAATTTTCGAAATCATTTTGTAAAATAGTGGGTAAGCACTGTCTGTACCAAGTGTATAACGCCTTTGAGATGTCTATAACCTTAGTCTCTCCCGTGACTATGATTGCTGTAAAGCATTCGACACGTCGGGAACCAAATATCAAAATAAATCCGCGAAATAATCCAAAAAGATTTTTATTAAAAATGTCAAATATTCGCATAAATTTTAGAAAGTTTTAATATCCTTTAGTTTCTTTTCTGTAGCATTTAACAGCTCAACAGATTTGCATGCAATTATAAATAAAGATAGTTTGTACTCAAATTAGCACATACACTTTTATAATAATATTAGAGACTCACCCTTGCTCCCCTCGGGTTCGTCCATAGTTATGCTTAACAATTAGTATAGATTTCTCAGAGATGAGATATATTCTTGCAGTAAAAAGTATCCTATATGTTAATCGGGATAATTACCTATCATCATACCAAATTTAAACAAAATCTATCCAGTGGTTTTCTTGTGATGCCAGACAGACAGACAGACAAAAATTCAAAAAACTATAGATTCGACCTCTGTATCAATAATATTGACTATTTCAATTAGATTTGCCAAAAATGTTTGATATACAGATTTGACTCAGAATTTTATTATATGTATAAATATATTAATATGAACAAAAAACAATAAAAAATCCATGAAAATTACCTTTAGTTTCTGCATCGTACATTTTAACCTGTAAAAATGCCTCTTCACATTTTAATACTTGTTTCTTAAAAGCTAATGCATCTCGAAGCCGTTGTACACATGTTGCACAAATAAGTCTTTCCGTTGGTTTTCCATCTAAATGTGATAACTGTAAAGAGTAGTATTTAGTTTAAAATTTGTATATTTTGATGACTGATGGAAATAATCAGCATTAATATTATAAATGTGAAAGTTTGTCAGTATGGATGTTTGTTACTCTTTCACACCTGAATGGCTGAACATATCTGGATGTAATTTGGCACAGAGATAGATCATAGTCTGGAATAACACATATGATACTTTTTATCCCGGAAAACTGTACGGTTCCCGAGGGATGGGTTTGTTTTCCTAGAGGAGAACCTAAGTGAAGCAAGGGTGAGCTGCTAGTATATTATACAGATATTTATTTTCTAATTTAAATAACTTCTGTATAATTTTTTTTAAACAAAAAAGAAGACATTACTTACCAATAAACTAAAACAATCCATAATAATATCAGAATAAATTTCTTTCTGACCAAAACTTTCATACTCCACATTTAGAACACGGCATTTTTTAATTGTACCACAACATCTACAAATGCCTGCATCGAATACAGGCCCCTTGCCTTTTTTCACATTCATTTTAAATTAAAACAATAACTTATGCGACAGATTTGTGTTGAGAACATTGATTAAATCAATATGATTCATATATGATAAAAATTTGTGATATTCATTCACCGTATATAATATATAATGCATGGTGTTTTATTACGCATTTAGAATGATTATATAATTAATATATTTATAGTGGATATTAAAAAATAAGTCATATTTTTGTTGGTTGAAAATAACATATAATACAAATTACAAACATTAAATGACGTTATTTACAGTATGACAATTGACATTTGAGTTTTGACAGTTGTAAGTTCATAAATATATTTTTAATCTGTATAAAGTGCATGGCTATGGTGGTTATTATACTTTTAATTTTCTCATTGTTATTATTCTTATTTTGAAAAGCATAATAGCTTAGAAAGGCTTAAAATCTAAATAATATTTTTGTTATATTTTATTCATACATTGAAAAAAATTTTTTTGTTATCTTTATAACAAAAACTGCCAAGTGCGAGTCAAACTCGCGTACCGTGGGTTTCGTACAAACATGTAAGTATGCAATTTTTCTTAGTTCTTCCATTACGGGTATCGAGTTTACGTGGTGGTTTTAGCGGGTAGGCTGCCGCGCTTCTTAAGGCGGGAATCCCATATACCCCACGCGCCCCCGCGCACGGGAATCCAATCAAAACAAAAAAGGTTTAGAAATTAGAACTATCCTGAGTTCGAGTTTAGGATCAGCCCAAGTTTTTTTTCCGTCAAAAAAAATATTCAGTAGTGGACTGGATTTGAGAAGCTGGCGGTGTTCCACTCCGTAGGTACCTCTGAGAGCACGTAAAGCCATCGGTGCTGCACCAAATAGCTCCTCACGTGTGTCAAATTTTAATACTATCACAGTATAAGAGTGATAAGAATAGTGCTTATGTGTTTGCGCAAGCACTTTGCACTTTAATATCTCTGCAAATGGCTAGTCTTAGTGAGATCGGCCATCGCGGCCGAAATCTGTTAGGAATGGACATTATTATTTTTACATTAAATTATTAAAAGAAAATATTAAAAGAAAATATTAATTATATTTATTTATTATAATAAAACTTATTCAGATAATTTAATACATTACGTACACAACACAAAAAAAATCAGAAGAATTATGTATTTTACATAAACTTTAATTTGTATAAAATTAATTAGAAATAATTTATATTTTATGAGTATTATCTGTATGTTATAATAATTTAGTATAGTGCCACAAACTTATCTGACCCGGCGCCCAAAACTGAAACTAGGTTTCGCCATTTTGAAATGACATTTTGTTGTAAAGTGTTGTCTTGGAATCCAGCCTCTGAATTACCCAGATTATTATCTAGATTCTAGGTGATCATAATTATAACATTAAAATATAAATCATTAAAAATGTGTTATAAATATTATTCCTTGTTTTATCACGTTGTATAACAATGACTAAAAACACCAAATTAACAACTCGCTTAATCCTTGTGCACTTGAGCTGTCATTATTTTTACCCTACAAACTGCGGAAATTCTATTTAGTGGCAACACTATATTCAACAGCGACGCCGTTATTGGGTCAGATATGTTTGTGGCATTGTATGATATTTTATTGCACATAGAAATTCCGTTTTCTGTCTGTAAAGAAAAATGTTTGTAGACGTACAATAGAAGACATTTTTATTTATTATATGGTAATATTATGGGTGCATTCATTAATTGCGTTAGCTTTAAATGGGGGTCGCGACACAACGCGAGGGGTCCAGTAAAATCGCATCAAATCTTAATTTAAATTGAGGGCATATTAAATAAAACTTTCATCTTGTCGGATTTTTCGCGGAAGTATTATGATTTTTAGGTCCTGACATTCTAACAAATTATTATGATGAGGACGTAATTAAAAATGTCACGTCGATTTTAATAGAATTTAAGTTATTATCTGTATAATAAAAAAAAATTGACGGTCCAGCAGATGTGAAACATCTATGTTAATATTAGAATTCATAATTAAAATAAAGAAAAAATTTAGTTAAAGTTAATAAAATCGATTCAAATGTCTTATTTTTTTAATCATAATAATAATTACAGAATATTATATATACTCATAAATAGAATAGAAAATATGTAAGTATTTAATAGAGACTGTTTTAAAATGGACCGTGTATAGTATACGCGCGCGCACATAAAGAGCGTACAAGAGATATCATGGCGTGACAGCGTAATGCCATTTGCCGTCACGCCATACAAGTCAGTTTTTCTGCCAAGGCGCATAAATAGATGTTTCACATCAATATGATAGAACACCAGCTTACGTTATTAATGTATGCCCCATAATTTAATAAACAAATAATACCTAAGGGCAACTACACACATATTAGTTAACGATTTATTAATAAAAAGATACAATTTCCACTTTTACCTATCATCAAGATATGTTACTCGTATATGTTAAAAATTATACACTAAATATCAATAAAAACTATAAACTACGAGACTGAGATCGCACAAATACTTATATAATTTGATTGCAAGGTTAAAATAGATTTTTTTTTACATCGGGTATAAAGAGTAATAAAAATTGGACGTAGTTATGCAAAATGGATCCAGCCCACGAAAACCGTTTTTTTGAATTACTACCATAAAATGGCACCTACATATCAACAAGGAGATAAAATACCCAATATTTAAGAGGAATTTCAAAACAAACTACGGTCTTGTTATTTTGATATACCAATTTTACTGAAACTCCTATTTTCTCAAAAGTAAGTTTTTGTGGTTGGATCTATTTTGCATAACTACATCCAATTTGCAATGTACATCATTTATAACAAAAAGTATAAAGAACAAAACTAAATTAGGATATAGGCCTTGGTATTTCACCTAATCATAAGTGAGAGACGCCATCTTGATTCAACTTATTTGACAGAGAAAGAAACAGAGAGTACGCCTCTGTAGAATTTTATTGCTCATAAAAAACGTTCATTCATTGTAACTCCCTTCCATATCTAGACTTTGGTGTTGCCGTTTGACATGATTTTTTAAATTCACTTTCTGGGCAAATGATGCATTACATAACTCACATTTAAATTTTTTTTCACTGCTGTGCGACTGCATGTGCACTTTTAGGCCTCTCAATCGTGGATAGGTTTTCCCACAGTATTCACATCTGAAGTTTCTCTCCCCAGTGTGACTTGCCATGTGTTCCTTCAACCGAGAGGGTAGATAGAATCTTTTGTCGCACATATCGCATTGATGTTTTAAAATTTTTAAGTGAAACCGTCTGTTATGCTCTCGAAGAGATTTTCTACTATCGTAAGCCCTATCGCACTTTTCACATTTAAACATCCTTTCTTCACCGTGTACTTCTATCATGTGTCGATACCGCAGAGTGTAAGAGAAGAACAGTTCATCGCATTTATTGCATTGGTATGCCGCCTCTTTTTTGTGGGTCCTCGCTATGTGTATATATCTTGTATATTTAGATTTGAAGGTTTTCCCGCATTCTTTACACGCGAAACTCTCTTCAACCTTCTGGTGAGTCTTCTGATGAAGAATTAGCATTCGTTCTTCGAAGTAATGCGCACCGCACATATCACAAATGCATGTACCAAAATGTTCCGCCATATGCTTTTTTAGCGCATGAAAAAAACTAAACGTCGCCCCGCATTCTGTACAAGATGGCGGACCGGAAGTCAGACGATATTTGAGGAAGTCGTCAGAGTTATTGTGATAAGTTTTTTGGTGGATATTTTTTATGTGATCGGTGAATTTTTCTAAATTATCAATATTTTCTGGACACAATCGGCAGTCTATTCGGTATACATCGATTTGTAATTTTTTATTACTCGGTGTATTCGATAGCACATCTTTCAAGGTAGTTGGATCATGTGTCATAGAATGCTCTCGAAGTTTGTTGGAGTCTGTAAACACTTGCCTGCAGTAGACGCAGAAAAAGTCACTAAAGGATGTATCGAATGGACAAGCATATGAATTTTCTACTATTGTCACGAAATTTTGGTAGGATTTACTATTCTCATTGGTTTTGAAGCCATTTTGTTTTTGTGGTTGTGTCGACTGGTCGGGAAGTTCTGCAAAAAAAAAATTTACATTTTTTTGTTAATTAGGCCATTTATCTTAATTATTTTTACAAAGAAATATGTAGTGCATGTTGCTAATCCGCTTTCGCTTGTGACACAATCATTATAATAACTAATCATTGAAAATTTGTTTATATAACACTTTCCTTTATTACGTTGTTTCTTTTACAAAGTAAAGAAACATAAAAAATGTTTTTTTTGTTTTCTATACTTAAAGTGGCAGTGTTCGGTGCAGTTTAATATTACTACAGTCTGTTAATCCATATCGTCTAACGAATCCTCTCCTCTGGACAGGACATTTATGAGATATGAGAGGTGAGCACCCGACTGCCATATGTATTTTTATATGACAGATGGGAGAAGTTTAGGGTTGACATTACAACTTTAACTTTTACTAGGAAACCGTTCGCCATGAAAATTGGTATTTTTAATATTCCTTGCGTATCATTGCGTAAAATCTCTAATAAGGTAGTTTCATACAAACTTTCATCCCCTATTTTACCCCCTTATAGGATGAATTTCGAAAAATGTTAAAACACGTATTTATTTAATTTTATGAAAAAGCATTAATACCAAGTTTCAAGTAATTCTGATTATAATTTTTTTTGGATTATATTATAACGTGTGTTCCCGTAGGAATAATGTAATCTCCTGCAGTCAAAAGTAGACTATGTCACTCTCCAGCCCTCCAACTATCGCCACACAAAAAATCACGCCAATCCGATCACTCCGTTTCGACGTGAAAGAAGGACAAACAAACAAACAAACAAACAAACATACTTTCACATTTATAATATTAGTATGGATACGTGAAGCAAAAACTTTGTATTCATTTTTAAGAAAAATCTATAATAATCATGGTCGAAGTTCGACCATTTGGCGAACTCTAGTCAAAATAAATCCGCGACAAAGATAGTTTAATTCAAAATCTAATTCCATTAATTACTTAATAGGGAATAATATGCATGATTTTTTGTTATAAAAACTAAAATTGAGATTACAAAAATAATTTATAAAATATAATACAGATAAGAATACTTGAAACGGCAACCATTTTCGCGCTCGTCGTGACGTCATAATATTTTCGACAACATCTCAATCAACAATTGAACAGGTGCACTTTCCAATAATTATTTTCTTAATGAAAAAAAATTACATCAACAAATATTAATAGGCTTAATTAAAAAGCTATATTGGTTAAAAAAAATATTTCATATTTTTTTAAATCATAAAAACATAAAAAATAAAAGTCACCTTTATCTCTATAATATAATTTATTAAAAAAAATACAACATTAAAACATATCTAAATTATATTTCTACATGAGTTGGATTTTTATAGTCTATCAAAATGAACCTGTACCATAGAAAACTTATTTAATCTTATAACAATGTAACTTCACTAAATATACTAAACATAATGTCATTTAATTTTATTCTAATTTGTTGAGTCTCAATTTTCTATTTAATAATATTTTTGTCTTTCTTAGATTTACAAGAATTTTAAAATAAACCTTTGAAATGTCTAAAACCCTAGTCTCTCCAGTGACCATGATTGCTGTAAAGCATTCGAAACGTCGGGAACTAATAAATCTAAATAAGCCCGCGAAAAAGTTTAAAAAGATAGTTTTATCTATACTAATATTATAAAGAGGTAAAGTTTGTGAGTTTGTGGCGTTGTAGGGGGTAATCTCTGGATCTCTGAACCGATTTAGATGAAATTTAGTAAGAAGATAGTTTGAGACTCTGGGAAGGACATAGGATTTTTATCCATAAAATCATCCCTTAAGGGGGTAAAAATGATGATGAAAGTTCGTATGGGGAATCAACATTCGAATCATAGCCCGCGGCTCCGCCCGCGTTCAGATGACCAAAAACCGTATTCTTAGGTTTTACATAGCAGTATACTTTTACATTGTAGTTTTTGTATTTTTTCTCAAAAATGAGATATTTTCCCGCGGTAAAAAGTATCCTATATGTTGACCCGGATAACCAGTTATCACCATACTAAATTTCATCAAATCCCTCCAGTGGTTTTTCTGTGATGCGGTAACAGACAGACAGGACAAAATTTTTAAAAACTATAGATTCGGCCTCTGTATCGATAATTATGTCTATTTCAATAAGATTTTCCAAAAAATCTTTAATGTACAGATTCGGCTTAGTTACAATTTTATTATATGTATAGATGTACTTTAGATCTCTTGTATATCAGGCTAAGAGGTCCCAATCGAGTACTTCTATATCCGTATATTCATTATCCGGAGAACGTCTCGATAGGTCTGATACATCTGTCATATGCAGCTTCGCTTCTACTTCTTCCTTTAATTTTCTCAGCGATACTGGTTCAAGTTTATTTTCTTTAGCATTTTCTTCTTCTCTCTCAAATATATCTCTTTTAGCATCCCTTAAATTCTCATGTCTGATTTTTTTCTTTGCATTGTCATCACTATCATACAACATTTCATCAGTCGAATAATGTTTAAAACTTGTATAATCATTTTTGTCTACAGCTCCTTTTGTAGCATTTTTTCTTGGTCTACCACGTTTTCTCGGCTGAATTTTTAAGTAATCTATATTTCCTTCTAGTTCATCTCTTTTTTCGAACTTTAGTTCTATATCATCTTCTGCCACGTTATCTAATATCTCCATTTCGAATTCTCCATCTTTGATTAACGAAGTTATATCAGGCTGATTGATTTCTAAATAAGTTGCGGAAATTTCATGATCTGAATCGGACATATCTGCCTCAGAAGCGTTTGGGAGTTTATTTAGGACCGTCCGAGGAGAAAATGGATATAGGCCACAACTTCGGAATCCTGTTTTGAGATGATCAGACAGAATTTCCTCATTTTTTAATGTTATTTTTAATAAGCGAATAAACAATATTTTAGACAACGGTACCATTTGGACATTGCTTGTTTTACGATATTGTCCTAAAACTTTTTTCCAAGTCGATTTGAGGGCTTTAAAAAAAGCTCCGTCTAATGGCTGTAGTAAATACGTAGAATTAGGTATCAAACAGACAAACTTAATATTATTATCAACACATAGATGCATACACCTTGGAGATATGTGAGCACTTAAGTTGTCACAGAATAATATTTTTTTCCCATCCCGTTTATTGGCAAAGGGAAGAAAAATGAATTCCAGCCAATCTTCGAAGACAGTTTTATTAAACCAGCCAGTATTTGAAACAGCCGCACGAAAACCTGACTCAACTTGGAAAATGGAATCGGGATATTGTTGTGTTTCTTTGAAAATAAAATATGGCGGCAAGATTTTCCCTGCGGCATTACCACAGAATGCAACAGTATAACACGATTTTAGACCATTTTTTATGTAGCCCGGGTATCTGGACTCCCTGCGGAAAACCACTTTGTGTTTATTGGGATTATCGTTAAAACCCAACTCATCTACACTATAAATATTATTTGGTGACACGCCATCTATCTCCATCGATATATTATCAAAAAACTTATTGATTTTATGTTTATCGATTTGCGCTTGCTTTGTTTGCGAACTTTTACCTATTACATTTTTAAGGGCGGGGTGGCGCTCTAAAAACAATGCCCCCCAATCATATCCGGGTAAATTATTTTTGAATGTGGCAATCCTTTTATTATTACTATCTAAATATCTTTTGACTATGAGACGAAAATCTAACATATTCATTGTCACGCCCATTTCACTAAGCATCAGTAAGTGATTTTCGAAATATTTCTCTTCATTGTCTGTGAAAGTCACTGGTCTACCCACATTTTTGTTATGTTTGTCCTTTAATTTGTAAAATAATGTGACAGCTGGTATTTTATAGTGTTGTGACGCTTCCATTCGCGACATAACACCGGATCTTATTTTAGTTAACGCTTCCGTTAAGGCTTCGGGAGTGTAATTACTTTTGACGCCATATTTTCTCACACCAGTCTTATTTTTGAATTTTTTTCGCGGCGTTTTGGTGCTCTCTGAAAGTAAGCATAGAGCAGCGCACTTTATAGAAAGTCAAAACGCGACGTGGATTGGAGTCGACTTCACAAATAAGAGGTTGTTCGATTAAGAAATAAAGTTGCTGAAGAATTTATTTATTTTTGAACCACTTTTGACACTTATTAAAAACACTCCTAAATCATTTAATGTTACCCAGAAATCACATTCTTCTTATAAGTCAATCTTCAAAATTATACCATTTCTTTAAAAAAAAAACTTTATTTTTATACTCATTAGTATACAGTCAATGTTATTGTACGTAAAATATGAAAACAATAACAAAAATTTGTTTAAAATTAAAAGAAATGAAAAAAAAAAATCAATTCAGAGTGAAAATTAAAAAAATACCTTATTCAATGTTAGCATAAAATTTAATGTTACCCAAGATTTAAAACTTACCAATATCTTGCATTTTCTTCAGTTTCTTCTTCAACCTCTGGGCATCATACAACATTTGCTTTGTGAGTATGTCATCCCTTTTTACTGTTTTTCCTTTTTTCGCTGCCTTCAGTTTTTGCCTCAGCGATTTTCTCTTCGGTTTAACTATAGCTTCATCTTTTACATAATCTATAAATAATAGAAAATAAAAACTTTTATGTAAGATATTTTAGATAAAAAAAATCCCATGAATGTAATGAAAATATTTAGGCTTCAATTTTTATTTATCTATTGTTATAAACAAAATATGTATAAATAATATAAAAGGTGTAAGAATGAAATATAAAAAATTTAACAGACAGTAGGGAATACGTATGTTTTTTTTTGTTTTTTTTATACAATAGCTTACGTGGTTATATAATTGAAAAAAAATATCCAGACCCAAAAAACTAAAATTTAGTATGAAAAAATCATTTAAAAATATCATACAGATATGGATAATTTAAACGCCAACCGCCGCCATATTGGCGTGACGTCATAATCTATGACAACATTGCAATCAACAAATGTACTGGTCTAGATTGTTAGTACCAATTGTAAACACCAGACAACCGCTTTATTGTAATAGCTTTTGACGTCACATTCAGTCTGACCAATAGTGTTGCGTTAAAACGCTACTTTAAATTTCCCACCCATTTTTGTATTTCTCAACAATTATTTTCTTAATGAAAAAGAAATTATATAAAGAATTAATATAGGCGTAATTCTGAAGCAATAAAGATAATAATAAGAAAAATTCAACCTCTATTTAAATTACACAAATATTCCCTATTGCTTTTTTCCGATATTTATGTAAAACTTACCATCATTATCAAGGTATTCCAAAGTAACATCATCGTGATAATCATTTTGTATTGAATCTAACTCTTCCTTTACTCTAGATTCTTCTTTCACATTTGTATTGGAATTGTCTAAAATATAAATAAAACAGACATATAAGATTTTAATATTATATGACTTGGCTTAGTCTACAAAATAATTTAATTAATTGAGAAGAATTAATTCAACACACTCAAAATAAACATTTTGGCCATATATTATTTTGAATATTTATTTACATAGCAACAATCTAGATCAGCTATACTCAACCTATGGCCCGCGGACCATATGCAGCAGCATCAAAAATCGCATTATAACATATATTTGTTAAAAAAGTAACTACATCGTTAACTTGGAATTATGTTTTCATTAAGATTTAAATAATTTTTACTTGCGGCCTCCACACCTTGACTGAAACGTGTTTGTGGCTCCTATAAAAAAAAGGTTGAGTATGGCTGATCTAGATCAACAAATGAATAGTAATAAAATATATCTAGATTTTAGTTTTTTATGATATAACTAAAGAAAGAAGAAAAAGAACAATTTGAGTACCTTCATCATGTATTTTAGTTCTTAGCAGTTTTTCCTCGCATTGTAATACCTGTTGGCGGAAAGAACTAGCTTCTCTAAGACGGGACACACATGTTGCACAGATAAGACACTCTATGTCTTCACCATCCAAGTGAGATAACTAAAAATAGAACTCATGACGATTAACTCTTATCTATACTTAACATCTATCATACTGTTCTTGATACTATAAAAATAAGCAACTTTATATAATATTAAATAAGAATCTTTAGCTTTTTGGTTGCATGGAAAACAAAATCATTGATTCAGCATGATTTATAAAAGTTAGTCGGATTGTTTAAAGGGCGATCGGTGTATTAAAACATATAATAAGCAGGTAAATGTAGCAAAGAGGTATCTGAAATAGAAATGAAAGTAGCATTGATATCCAAATGTAATATATGTGCTAACAGAGGTCACATATACCTACTTATTAAGCCACAAGAGAGAGTGTAAAATCAATTTTTGATAAACAATTGTTAATAGAGAAATAATTTCATACCAGTAAACCAAAACAATCAACAAACATATCGGAATAAATTTCTTTTTGGCCTCGCCATTCATATTCTACGTTTAATAAACGGCATTTTTTTATTTCACCACAACACCTACATACACCAGGATCAAAAATGGGGCCTTTTCTAGTGTTTATATTCATTTTTCTTACAATAATCCATTGATTTATCTGAATAAACAATAAACAGATTAAGTTAATGTTAAATCGTTTGACAAATGACATTAAAGTGGATTTTTATTTTTTTACAGATAAGATATTTTGTCACTGTCAATATCATCCAGACTATCTATACATATAACAAAATCGTAACTAGTAATCTGTAGTACTAGTAGTAGTAGTAGTAATCTGTACAATATTTTTGGGGAAATCTTATTGAAATAAACATTATTAAATAAAACTATCTTTTCGGATTATTTCGCGGATTTATTTTCATTTTTGGTTCCCGACGTTTCGAATGCTTTACAGCATCCATGGTCACGGGAGAGACTGAGGTGTTACATGTCTTGAATGTATAGTTGTTACAGACAGCCTACCCACAATTAACAAAATGAAAATTTTGTTAATTAACAAAATTTTCATTTTTTATTTGTGGGTAGGCTATCTGTAACAACTATATCTTATATATATAAGATATAGTTATATATATATATATATATATATATATATATATATATATATATATATATATATATATATATATATATATATTGCAAAGTTTGAATTCACAAATAGATCCGGCAGGTGGCGCTGCAGTCGTTGTCACAAAATTTTCATAAACGACTCCATTTTCCGTGCAATAAATAAATTTAAATTATTGATTAAATAAAATAAAAATCGATGAGGGTATGTATGTTTCCTATGGACTCTAAAGTAGCTGGAGCGATTTTTATGAAATTTTCAGGTAATCTTCAGATTAGGCCAACGGGTGATCCTGTGAATTTTGTTAGCGATCAGAAGTTTGGACGCGGGCGGAGCCGCGGGTACTACTAATCATAAATATATGTCCTTTACTTGAGCAATCATTTATTCCCGATTCAATCTTCCACCTCCTTATATATGATATGTTTTCCGGGATGAAAACTATCCTATATCATTCCCAGGGTCTCTTAACTATTTCCATACCCATCTAAATCGGTTCAGCGGTTTAAACGTCAAAAGGCCACGGATAGAGACTGCCAGAGTTACTTTCACAATAAATTTTAGTATGGATATATAAGAGTGTTTTTTTTTGTGGTGCTGATCAATCATCATCGGCTTGGGTTAAACTTCGATATGTCAGTAGGTGAGTCGCGACATTGTCTTTAACCGTTTCCCTGTCCCATGAGTCATATATGAACATGTCGATTGTTTAACTATTGTGTCTATTTTGCGGAAAGTTAATCTGTTAATATATAATAAAAATAGTTATTGCGTTAGACATAATATAGTATTGTGGACTTTTTTAAGACCTACCATATTTTAGTACATACATTGTTTTGATGTATCTCATAAGGTTTAGCCAACGTTAGCCATATAAATTTCTAAGGGTGACTGGATAGAATCAGTTGTGTTTTCCTGTGAGAATGAAAATTTTTCCTTTAGTAAAATGTATCCTAAATTAATTAGTCCATTGAAATGTTACATTTTTGGGCTTAGCGTGCATTTGTCAGAGGACGCAATTTTATTTTTTAGATATCAAGGAGGGGTTAGTGTAAAGTTAAATCCAAGTTTGTGGGGTTGCAGCCCTTGTCCCACGGCCGCCGCCATCTTGGAAAAATAGGTACAATGGTTTTTATAGTTTACTAGCGGACCCGACAGACGTTGTCCTGTCTACACGTCTTTAATTTGAAAATTTCAAACTTTTTTTAATAATTTTTTTGATGAAAATTATTATTCAAATTGTGAATCTAAACCATTCCCAGATCCCCTTGAACACACACAAAAAATTTCATCAAAATTGGTCCAGTCGTTTAGGAGGAGTTCAGTCACATACACACGCACACAAGAAATATATATATTAAGATTATATTAAATTATCTGACAAACTATAGGTCTCACAAAAAAATTGTTAAATCATTTTTGGTTACAAATAAAATTCTCTACAACTTTAGTCAACTTTTAATCGTGGAACCAAAAATAAAGTTATAAGCGAAAATCGATGAAAAAATATGAAAAAATCTCCTATTTGTCGTTATAATTTTTTTCTGATCATTTTACAAAAAATTATATTATACCATTTTTATAAAAGCGTTTTTAAGGAATAATTTTCATTATAAAATTTTGAAATTTTATTCATTAAATAAGGTTTTACAGAGCTGCGAAACGAATATACTATTCTTCAGTATTCATAACTATACATAAATATTATTGATTCGCCATAATTTTCAATCTTCTTTTCATAATTTTTGTGATAATCTTTTTAATTATTGATAATGCAATATTGTTATTTATTAATTATTGACCCCCACCCACCACCCCACCACCTACGAGGTAGAATCTGGAGGCGCGTTTTTTTACGGGGTATAATTACTCTGTCCTCGATCTTTTTGATGTACCAGGCTGCGGCTCAGGATCTGGTTGACCTTCTATATTAAAATACTTGAGGGAGAACCGCCGAAGAAAATGAAGCAGGTCGAGTTGCTGCAATGATGGAATGACCATGGAATGTCATTCCATCATTGCAGCATTGGTGAGGATTCACCAGATGTTAAGTAATGATTCTGAATCATCATCAGAATCAGATGAACTGTCTGACGAAGAAGTCATCTCCGTCGACGTCATTTTAGACTTTTTCTTCAACTCTACTTTTTTAGTAGCAGAACTAGTTATTGGAATTTTCTTGTTACTTTGAACAGTGGACGAATTATTATTATTATTAGTTTTTTTATCCATATTAGGTGTCCCAGTTTTCCCTGAAAAAAAATCCATATTTAGCCTCACTTACAATAAAAAGCAGATTGTTGGTAAAGAAAATTATTTTTCAACATTGTTCGATATAATTAAAAAGACATTGTGGAAAATTTCAATTTTAATCTATACTAATATTATAAAGAGGTAAAGTTTATGAGTTTGTAACGTTGTAGGGAGTAATCTCTGGATCTACTGAACCGATTTAGACGAAATTTGCTAAGAAGATAGTTTGAGACGCTTTGAAGGACATAGGATACTTTTTATCCCGGAAATCATCCCTTAAGGGGGTAAAAATGGGGATAAAAGTGTGTATGGGGAATCTAGCTAGGGACGAACCCGAGCGATGCGAGGGTGAGCCGCTAGTAGAATATTTAATTTACTTTTACAACAAAGTTGATTTATGTAGATACATCTTAATGTCCTAACAAATTGTTTCTTCGATAACTTATATGTCGTAGGTACGAAATGAATTGTCCAAATGATTGTTTTATTCAAAAAATCCAATGCAATATAAAATTCGATGTTTCACTTAAAAACTATCAGAGAAAAATTAAAAACAAAAAAGCATATTTTTAAATCCGATAAAAGACAGAAAGACAAACAGACAAAAATTCTAAAAACTATAGATTCGGCCTCTGTATCGATAATAATGTTTGATTCAATAAGATTTTCCAAAAAATATTAATTAAAGTACAGATTCGGCTTCGTTACAAATTTATTATATGCATAGATATTATCGATACAGAGGCTGAATCTATAGTTTTTAGAATTTTTGTCTGTCTGTCTGTTACCGCATCACAGAAAAACCACTGGTGGGATTTTGATGAAATTTGGTATGATGACAGCTGGCTATCCGGGTCAACATATAGGATACTTTTTACCGCGGGAAAATGTCTCATTACTGAGAAAAAATACAAAAACTGCATTGTATGAGTATACTAATATGTAAAACCTAAGAATTTGCTTTTTGATCATCTGAACGCGGACGGAGCCGCGGGCGAAGCTAGTTTTAAATAAAACTATCTTTTCAGATTTCTTAGCGAATTTATTTAGATTTTTGGGCGTTTCGAATGCTTTACAGCAATCATGGTCACGGGTGAGACTGATACCTGTAAAGCATTCGAAACGTCCAAAAATCAAAATAAATTCGCGAAAAACTTCGAAAAGATAGTTTTATTTAAAATGTCAAATATTCGCATAAATCTAAGAAAGTATTGAGCACCTCATCACTTTACAAATTGAACACTTCGAAAATATGATTGAATTGAATCGTGCCAAATTCTGCTGGTGTTATTTCAATCAAACTCACGGCCGTATAAATAATTCAAACTATATAATAATAATAATAATAATTCAAACAAAACAAAATCGTGTACCTATTTGAATTATTTTTTTAAATTTTAACTGAAAAATCGTACCATTAGTTTTTTATGGACGTGTATACTTAACAATACGAAGAACTTTCTTTTTAAATACATCGATTGTAGATTTTACATAATTGTAGTTCTGGAATATTTAGAACACAGATTAAGTCATTAATTCTCTTATTTGGTTCATTTGACGACACGTTTGGCTCAGTTTGTAGTAACCCTACTTGCTGTGCCAGCGGTCGCGGGTTCGAGTCCCGCTGGGAGCATTCATTTATGTGCCGAGCACAAATGTTTGTACTCCAGTCATGGGTGTTTATATTTATAATAGTACCTGGGCGACCGAGCTTCGCTCGGAGTTTTTGGCCAAAAAACATTAAAAAAAAAACAAACTAAGAATTTGAATAAATAAAAAAAAAACAAAATTAAAAACTTTGTGTCCGACCGGGATACGATCGCAGACCTGTGGTTATCAAACTTGCGCATAGGCCGCTTGACCATGATGCTTATATCTGAGCATGCGAAATTATCGAACATAATATTTTGCGTGGAATTATTAATTATTAATTTATTGAAATAACGCAAAAGAAATCATAATAATAATAAAGCTTTATTTATTGTATACGTTATGTTTGTCACTTTTGTATTTGTTTGGTAGGTGAATTTTTAAAAGCTCATTTGTTCTTCAACACATCAAGACTTGGTGATGTTTACATATTGCCCATAGGTTTTATCGATTAATTTGTAACACTTTTCTTTAGATTATTTCCACTATAATATTTTTAAACTTGATATAAATACGGACACGATGTAGTGTAGACAGTTGCACAGTGGCGCCTCCCACCCACCAGAAGTGACAACTGATAATGCAAAAATTGTAAAAATGCAAAAGAAAATCGCATGAAAATTCGAAAACTCGCGTTTTCCCAGATATAAGACTAATCTAGATCCATTTATCGCCCCCGAAACCCCTTATGTACTGAATTTCATGAAAATCGTTGGAGCCGCTTCCGAGATTCAGATTATATATATATATATATATATATATATATATATATATATATACATGCACAAGAATAGATTATTCATGATTGCCAATAACTTACATTTTTCTTAGGGCTTTTGAATGATCGAAGTTACATGTACATATATATTTAAAAAAAAAAACTGGTATTTATACAACTTTTTAGAATCACGCCTATTTCTCTGAGTAATATGTTTTAAATATTTAATTTAAAATTTCATTGAAATATTTTTAAGCTCATTCATTACGATGGTAGCAGTTAAGCGATGATAAGAGTGCGCCTCTAAGATTTGGATTCAGAGCGGGATGACAAGATAATGTTCTATACTAGTGACTTGTTAATATTTTTAGACGTGACTTCGATTCTTAAATAAAACAAATAGAATAATTGTTTCTGGCAATACTTAAAAAATCTACTAAACCAAGGAGAGGAGGGATGCTTGATAAATAAAATTACAAATTACCTACATAATATATTTTAATAAATTATACCGCAATAGATATAACATTTGCTACTTCTTCTCAGCTAAACTACAAAGCAGGTGTTTCTAGAACGGTGTTAGAATTTATGTAACTGCTATACTATAAATATGAAATGTATTAAGTATCTACTGCTTAACTTACATTTCAAGAAAATTATATTAACTTGGTGTTATAAGAAAAATAAACAATTTGAAAAAAAAAACTATAAGATATTTTTTCTGTGCAACATACATAATATCAGATTTATAAATGATTTTTTTTAATTTCAATAAATTTTTTTTAAATAAAACCCTTTAACATTTAACAATTTGTATCTACTTTAAAAAAAATAAATAACTCATCTCACTGACCTCGAAACTTAGAATATGGCGGTCATAAAAACGGCAGCCGTTACCATAAAAGTATTGAATTATAATTTATCTACACTACTTAATTCTCAAAAGACAAGATGAGATAAAGACTAGATTTTTCTACTTGACTAGACATTCATGGAATTTTAAAACCACTTCATGTTGCTACATCACATCGAGGTACGCCAGCGGCTCGTTATCATAGAGTATATTGCTACATAATATATAAACTCGTTACCAAACCGGGTTCGTGATGGTCACTCCAGCGACACGCCGTGCCTCCACCATCGGGACTCGCTCGCCATCTCTCGCCGTGTGCACATACGGTCTCAACTCTCAACAGCGATAATACAGGCCTTATTTCTACCGAAACGTATTTTTATTAAGTCAAGACCACCAGTATTACAACTGGAACTTGGCGTTTAACACTTCATTAATACGAATATATTTTACATATAAGATAAGTTGTTCCAAATAACCGTAATATTACCCAAATATTCCACTATATAGCAATGATCTAAATAATGAAGAAGATAGAACTGTCAGAGCAGAGGTATGTTCTTTTATAGTATTATTCCAAAATTTTTAAAAATGATTAATTTTACAATACTATAGCAAAACTTTATACGCTATTATACTAATTATATGTTATATGACCATGTTCACGGCGGATCCCAAAAACCTGTGGCTTTTACTTACAATTTCTGTTTTGACATAATTCGTTAGAGCTTATGTGAAATTTCTCTCTCTAGTGAGAAAAACTCCAGATAGGTAATTGCGAACCGTCGTTAGTTTGATGTATGCTTTATTTAAAACTGTAACACTACTGCCCGATTTCACTAACATCCCATAAGCTACCACCTAAGTATGGGATCTTTAGCTTAAGAGTTCCCCTAAACTACTCGTAGCCCCCAAATTAAATTTCGTTTTACCATCGTCAGAGCCCGTATTTCTAGTACATATATGCTGCTGGCATTTTAACATTTAGGTGAACCCTAACTGTCGGTAAAACAGAAACTGTGCCCTAAAACAGCCCCCTAACCATGCTTAGGGGATCCCTTAAACTTAGGTGACGTTGGTGAAATCGGCCATACGTCTATTTTATTCTCTTAATCTAATATATAAATATATGTTAGTTTTTAAGGTATATATGTTATGAGTGAGTGATCTGTTTACAGATATAAGATCTCTTTGGAAATATTGCCTGAAATAAATGATTAAATTAAAGCATGTTCATGTCAAATTCAAATTAACACTAGAAGCCATCAGTTGGTACTAATGCATGGACACCTTATGATTTTTATATTCCAATTTATCAGAAAAACTACTCCAGCATATCGAACACGAGAATTTCCACGCAGGATTGTGCGTCTTTAGGTGATGTTTCAATGTTTTTTCATATCTATAACACTTTTTACACAACGGACACATAAAATTTCTTTCTTGCGTGTGTGTTGCCATATGTTTCTTTAAAAGATAGCGCCCTGAAAATGACTTCCGGCAAATATCACAGACAATATTTTGGGCATGGTATTTTACTACATGCATATTCAAAGTATGTTTACTTTTGAAAATTAACGCGCAAGTTTCACATTTAAACGTAAATTCAACACCATGAGAATCTTTTAAGTGCTTGATCTTTTCGTAGTGATGTTCAAATCGCGCCAGACATTTGTGACATTTAGCTAGTTTCAATTGCCCCAATTTTCCATGGACTTTATCACTGTGGTACTTTAGTTTAGACGTACTGGGAAAGATCTTTTTACATTTAACACAAGGATATGTCCCGTTGTAATGACTCTGAATGTGTGTTAACAGGCGTTGGTAAGATAGAAATCCTTTGCCACAAGATTCGCAAACAGCATTGCTGTAATGAATGCTGATATGTTTATTGAGAAGAAAGAAACTATGGAAGGTCTTCGAACAAATATGGCAAGTAAAAACATCGTTCGTGACTTTCAAATTGAAAGCGATCATACCACTTCCAGCACTTGTAAAATCCTTTTTATGGACATCCATTAAATGTTTCTGAGCATCTTCCAAAACTGAGAATGGAGTTTCACAAATTCTACATTTCAAATTGGAAATGTCCACTTTGATCTTCTTTTTGCCTTTTTTTAGAATATTTTTTAAAATATTATTGTGGTTTGGTATATCATGATTTCTGGAATGTTCTAGCAAGATTTGAAGTTCTAATTTTTTTTCTTCGCAATAAAGACATTTGTAGGAGCTTGGGAATAGGAGATAAGTAAAAGGTGTCACTGTAGTATATTGTAGGAGAGTTGCAGCGTTTTTTCTTTCAGCTAACGTCATAGACCATTTACTTGTCATCGGAAATCCTCTAGAAGTTGCTGAAACGGAATATTTTAAATTTTATTTTGTATCCTTCAAATCAAATTTTCGTATAACTAAGTAAGTATAACCGTAAAATACTCATGCACTAACTTTAAAATTTACAAATAGTTAGAATAGGAGACACTTTTTTGACTTTTGAAAGTAGAAGTGTTATTTCAAAATTGCTAAATTATAAAGAAATTGATAAACATATTTTTTTAGTCTACGTAAATCTTATTATTATGATGATGTTCTCCTGACCGATTCCGGCCACGGCGGCCAATCTCATTGAGACTAGCCAACTGCGCAAGTGATATTATAGTGCACAAGTGTACGCGCAGACACAACGTGCACTCTCTATTCCTGTCACTCTCATACTCCGGTGGGACAACCACTCGACACGACCAGTGAGAGTTAAGGCGCAGGACCGACGGCTTTACGTGCTCTCCGAGGCACGGGGGTGAAACACCGCCAACTTCCCAACTCCGGGCTGTTACTGAGGCTTATACAGAAAGACTCAATAACTAAAATTGTCCCGACCCGGGACTCGAACCCAGGACCTCCGGGTCTGAAGCCGTACATGCTAGCCACTACACTACCGAGGCAGTTAAACGACCTTTTATAGCTATAAAGAAAATACATAAAATAAATATAAACATTAAACATACTTAGTAGCTAATCCATCCGGGTGGACACGGTGTGATTTTTTCATATGTTCTCTCATCGACTTTTTTTGCACGTAACTATTTTGACATATTGGGCACGTGAAGTTTTTTTCCCTAGTGTGCGCTCGAATGTGCTGTTTTAATTTTGACTCGATGCTAAAACATCTACAGCAAATTTCACATTTAAACTTCTCTGTGTGCGTCTCCGTGGTATGTGCAGTCAAAGCTCGTCGCGATTTAAAGTTATTTTTGCATATGTAACAGGAAAACATTTGAGATACTCCATGAATATTTTTCATGTGAACCAATTTACTGTAATGCTCTTTAAATGTTTCAGTGCATAGGGCACACTTTTTTAATTTCACTCTTTGTTTTCCCCTATGCACTATTTCCATATGATATCTCAATTGACCTTTTCTAATAAAAACTTTTTCGCACAACTGACAATTTATGGTAGTATTCAAATGAGTTTCTTTATGCTTTATTAACAAATATTGGTTGAAGAATCCCGCTCCACAGCTCTCACACACGACTTTGCCCACATGTCTATTCATATGCGAATTCAAATACCTAAAGGCGTTGAAGTTCTCATTACAGATGTGGCAAACAAAACAGCCGTTTGCAACCTCCATAATATATTCTGTCATTCCGTTACTGGCCGAAAAGAAACGTTTTTTATGTTCCATTTTCAAATGTTCACGAATTTTTTCCAAGTTTGGAAACTTTTGGTTACATAACCGGCATTTTAATTGCGATATATCCACTTGTACGGTACGTTTACCTTTATGTACATATTTGTCTAAAATAGCATCTCTATTGGGAACATCGTGAGTCGAGGTATGCTCCATTAGATTAGCCAAGTCCCAATAATATTGGAGACAGTAAAAGCATTTAAAGCTCGAGCCCATAAAAATAAACGGTCGAACAGTTGTGTATTGTAAGAATGTGGCGGCGTTTTTTCTTTCTAGTATCGTCATTTGCCATATACTTGTAGGTTTAGTGCCTGTAAAAAAAAATTCTTCAAAATGTATCCAACTGGTATTTGTAGGTGCTATGATGTAAACTTACCGAGTTTGTAAAAACTATTTATCTATACATCCATACTAATATTATAAATGTGAAAGTTTGTTTGTTTGTGAGTGTTCGTCGAAACTGAGAAATAGATAGATAAATACTTTATTGCACACACAAAAGAAGAGTACAGAAGATGAAAAGAAAAGTAACAAATAGGCATGCAAAGGCGGTCTAATTGCTACGAGCAATCTCTTACAGACAACCTTTGGTGAAAGGATTAGTGGAATCGTAGACGAGACGGTACAATTAACACTAAATACAGACATGATGAACTACGTTTACAAACATAAATACATAAATAAGACAAAAATATATACATATATAATATATACGTACACATATACATAAATATATATAGATACATAAATACACATAAATACATAGTATATACATACATACTCAATAACTAACAAGACAGATAATAATAAGACGACGTTTAAAAATATTTACTGAGTTTTTTACATTACGGAGAGACGGATTGGCGTGATTTTTTGTGTGAAGATAGTTGGAGGGCTGGAGAGTGACATAGGCTACTTTTTACCGCGGGACATTATCTAATTCCCACGGGAAAACACGTTATAATACTATCTAGAACTTTATATCTGATCAGAATTACTTGAAACTTAGTATTAATGCTCTTCAATACAAATAAATAAATAAATACGTGTTTTAGCATTTTTCGAAATTCATCCTATAAGGGATGGACTAAGATCCCGCTGCAAGATTGCTACGTTCATAGCGTATTTAATCAAAATCATTTTTTTATATACAATAATAAAAGGGATAATATGTTTTGACCGGGGTGCCTATCCAAATGTGCCCGCTAGTATGTTTAAATAAATAAATAATAATTGACTTTTTGGAACAAAAACGATGCATTTGTTGTTAAAATGAATTATAGCAAGAATGGTTGCTAATCAACTTTAAATCATTATATATTCTAAACTGTTACTTAAAATGAAAAATGATGAAAGAAACCTAAAAATGATTTTCAAATACATATTCAACGATACCCCACTTGACATAGTTCGTCGATTTTCATTATATTCTTTTTCTCATTATGGAATCTGGCAGCCCCCATATTTGATTATTTTTTTGTCACCTATCTTAGAATACTTGGACTAATGAGACGAGTCTAACGATACCCTAATTAAAGAAATTCATCAAGTGGTTTGGAAGGTATGAGGGATTAAAAAATATTACAAATATACAAAGATAGGCGCGAAAAACATTACCCTTCTCTTGTAGTGGGGTAAAAATACAGCTGAATTTCTCAATTCCTCCTCTTTTTTGAAGAAGTCGGTTGAAAAGAGCTGTACACATAAATACTTTGTGGATAATAAATAGCTTAGGCTGTGATATTAGTTAGGATTGATATGTGCTTGTAATATACTAAGTATACTATAATGTAAGGATAATAATATTAAAAAGAAGATATAAAGATAAATATAATAACATCACATATTAAGGCTCATAATGTAATTTGAGATCAATCAATGCTACTTTGAATTTTTTCTTTGCTAATTAAATGGAAAATTGCAAAAAATATTCGGATGCCACTCTTTCACATGGAGGTTAAAATCATTTCGATTTTGAAAGCCATTGCCGCAGCATGCCAGCTTATTACACTCGTTTATGTGCATTGTCATATGCCTATTCAAGCTTTTCTGTTGCCCGTAAGACTTGGCACAGAGACCACAAGTAAAATCTTTTCGACCAGAATGTCCAAGCATATGTTTCTTCAAGGTAGTCACACAACTAAAACTCTTCCTACAAATTCCACAGAAGGTCTTTTGAGTGTGGAATTTGTTTGTATGTGTGGTAAGAGCCCTTCTGCTTGGAAATTTTGAATTGCACACATCACACTCATATGTGAAGGTTATTTCGTGGACTTCCTTCAGATGCTTAAGTTTCCTAAAGTGCTCAGTAAATCTTTCTGGACAATGCGGGCATCGAAGCATTCTCATTTTGGTGGCTCCTTCGTGAGATTTCTCTATATGATATTTTAAATTAGACCGAGTTGTATACACTTTGCCACATTTGCGGCAAGGATAGCCTCCTGGGGAATGAATTTCCTTGTGTTGAATCAGTCTTTGGTGGGACATAAATCCAGCGCCACATATCTCGCAAACGGCGTTATTGAAATGAACGTTCATATGACGATTTAACAGTATGAACGTTTGAAACATTTTGCTACAAATATGACACGAAAATTGGCCATTTCTTAGACTCAAATTGTAGACAATCATTCCATTTCCAGATTGCGTGAATTCTTTCTCGTGTTCTTTCACTAAGTGTTTTCTTATCTGATCTATGTCCGATAAACTTTCTTTGCATATTTTACATTTAAGATTAGATATATCGATTTTGATGGTGCGCTTTCCTTTAGGCAAAAGATCTTGTAGGATTTTATCATAGCCGGGCATTTCGTGCATAGTAGTATGGTTTAAAAGAGCATGTATTTCTGAAAACTGCTCAGAGCAGAAAAAACATTTAAAAAAATACCGGCAGTAAACAAATGGGCGTACTGTTGTATTTTCGAGTAACATCGCAGCATTCTGTCGTTCAGATAATGTCATCTCCCATATGCTTGAAAGCACTACTTTTCTTCCTGAAGCTGTTGTTCCTGAGGAGACAAAATGTCGATTTTTAGTTTTTTTCATCCATGAGCAGCCGGAGATCATCGTAAACATATAATATATGCCTGAAACTTACAACAAAATGCCCATATTGGTCTCTGTATTATCTGTGTTACTCTGTTAATATGCAATAAAGAATATATACAAAATAGAAACAAAATGGCTTTATCCACTTAAGTTGTTTATTTCTACTTCTTACTATTTAGTTAAAAAACACTCCAAAATATTAAAATAAAGGATTGAATAAAAACAATCAATAAATTTTGTTACTTATATACATTTATTCACAGTTAATACAAAAAATACAAATTTTATATTTCTGTACTTATTCAATTTAATATTTCACTGCCGAAATTCTTTACAATAGTTCTGAACTGCCACTGTGGATGCCACTGTTTCATATGCTTATTATAATCGTTCCTGTTATGGAAGCCATTACCACACTCTGAGCACGTGAACTTCCACACTGGTCCGTGCACTCGCATATGCTGTCGAAGAGTCCGCTCATGCATGTAGGCTTTCTGACAGACTCCACAGAAGAAATTCCTCTCCCCAGTATGGCCTCGCATATGCATTTTTAATAACGATTTAGTTCCAAAACATTTACCACAAATTTTACATTGAATTTTTTGGGTGTGCTGTTTTGTGGTGTGTTCTGTCAATGCTCTTCTCGTAGGAAAAACGGATTTACAGACTTGGCATTCGAATGTGAAAGTGATTCCATGCGCTTCTTTCAAATGGGTCATTTTTCGGTAATGTTCTGCAAATCTTTCCAAGCAGTGAGGACATTTTAACGGTTTTGACCGTTTAGCGTTAGATATTTCATGCCTTTTCAATATATGGTAACGTAATTTTAATTTTGTTGGATATACTTCTTGACATTTGTCGCATTTGTGCATCCCTATTTGATGAACTATTCTGTGGTTAATCAAGCGTTGATGTGATATAAAGCCAAGTCCGCAAGTTTCACAAACCACACTGAAATGAGCATTCATGTGCCGATTGAGAAGAAAAAAAGAATTGAATGTTTTTCCACATTTATGGCATGCGAGGACTCCGTTATTCATACTTAAATTATATGCCATGAGCCCATTTCCTGCTGAATTGAATTCCTTTTTATGTGCAGCTGTTAGATGTTTCCTAATATCATCCAGGTCAGAGTACTTTTGATCGCAAATTTTACAAGTCAAGCCAGATATATCGACTTTTATGACACGTTTACCTTTTCTTAAATATTTTTTTAGCAAACATGACCTATCTGGCACAGAGTGAAAAGCAGTATGCTGCAAAACTGATTGTATTTCAGGGAATATTTCCGGGCAATAAAAGCATTTAAAGTTCGCTTGTTGGTAAAAGAATGGTTTGATATTTGTAGATTCTAAAAAAGTCGCGGCATTAAGCCGTTCGTATATTGTCATTTGCCAGTTACTTGTTCTTGGCGTCGGTCGCTGTGTGCCCGGTATCGCTGAAAACAAAAGTACTTTTTTAAATTGCCTGCCATCGGTTTACTACAAGTCCGTGCAAATTCTACGAAAACGATACTAACCTATTGTGTGGCTTTCTTTGGCTCTTATTAATATATACAATCTTTTTTACTATTCAGACTTAAAGCAATGAACAAGAATAAATATTTTATTTCTTAATATTAAAGAAAAATATGTATGCTAAGCATATTACAACTAAATCACACCGTGAGTGTTATTGACATGTGTTACGAGCGATACATGATTATTGAATTCTCGACCGCACACGGAACAGTTGTGTCCTATTTCATGTGATTTCTTATGTTCTTTTAAATTCTTTCTCCTTGCGTAGGATTTTCCACAAATGTCACATTTAAAGTTTTTCTCTCCGGTGTGTATCATCATGTGTCTCGACAAGTAATACTTAGAGAAGAATCTAGTATTGCATATTTCACACTCATGATTCCTCTCCTGTAAGTGAACTGATCTTATATGGGCTCGCAATTGGCACTTCAAATCATACTCCCTCCCGCATGTTTCACATTTAAATAGCCCTGAGCTCTGGTTGTGGACAACACGCAAATGCTTTGTCCTTTGATAATTGGATTTAAATCTTTCAGGACAAATTGGACAAGTTCTTGGAAACTGCTTTAAGTGAACTCCTCTTATGTGCATACTTTTCTTAGATGAATTGGAAAACACTTTTTGGCATATTTCGCAAGGGTAGATGCCTACTTTGTGCGTTTGCAAATGCCTCCTGAGAAGTCGAATCGAAATGAAACCAGCGCCACAAGTTTCGCAGCTATAATTATTGAAATGCTTGCTCATGTGTATTATTAATAAGCGTAGTTTAAGAAAAGTGGTATCACAGATTTGACATTGAAAATTTTCACCCCCCAATTTGTATGGAATAATATTATCTTGAAACTCTGGATCCATTGGCTTTCCATGTTCTTTGAGGTGAACTTTCAACGAATAGAGATTAGGACATACTGTTTCGCAGATCTTGCACTGCAAATAAGTAACATCAACCTTTATATCTTTATCCCGCGATCTGTTGTTGAGCTCTTGAACGAAATCTTTTATACAATGACATCCAGTAGTGTGGTCTTTTAGAAGAACTGGATCTAGAAAAACTTTTGCGCATATAAAACACTTGTACTTATTAGATGCATGTATAAAAGGATATAGGTAGGAAAATTCAAATAAAGTCAGTGCATTCTGTTTCCATTTCTGAATATTTATAGTGTCTCTTTGAGTTAGATTATAATTGCGTTTTTTGACTATTTTTGCATTTTTTGTAATGGTCCTTACTGTTATTTTTTGATTTACACTCATTTTATCTAGAGATAAAGGTTCAGTTAAAATGGAAACCGATGCGATTTCTTGTTCTACAGTGTTTACTTTAGTTATCATAGGTTTCTTATTATTTTCGCATAAAAGTCTATTTCCTGCATGATTTTTTCTTTCTAAGTCATCTTCATACTCGCATATGAGAGTTTCGATATTTATAGGATTTTTAAGTATTTTAAGTTTAATGTCACTGCCATCATCATCTTTTAATATAATCGAAGATTCCGTCTCTATGATGACGCCTAAAAAAGAATAACCAAATCGTCATTGGACTCAAAACAAATTAGAATATATTAAGAAGGATATAACGTATATCCTATATCCTATAAAATTGAAAAGCAATTTGTGAACATAAAAATTTATTTAAGTTATACAATAAAATTTACAGTTTATAATACCAATTTTCAATGTAATAATCGTCAATGCTTGTCATATTTCCATATATGCTTTAAATTTAAATCAATATAATTTTCTAATATATAATATTTAAAATTTTCAGTGCAATAAAATAATAATAATGCAATAGTATAGTAAAAATAAAAGAAAAATAAAAACAGACTTCCAGGCACTAAAATGTAAAAAATAACTAAACGGGGGTTTTCATTTAGAAAAGATACCTAATCAGATATTTTCGAAGTCGGTGCCAGACGATACAAAGCAAATACAAACGGCTTTCGATAAAATTTTAATGGGACCACCTGGGAAGTATACCATTCAAAACAAAAAAAATCCAAATCGGTTCAGGCGTCTTCGAGTAATTGGTGAACATACATAAAAAAACATTCCGACAAATTGAAACCTGGAAAATGGAACCTCGTCCTTTTTGAAAGTCGGTTTAAAAGATGTTAAGGGATCACATTCATTTGAATTATATGGAAATCAGATAAAACCATGAGAAATGGTACATCCAATAATAACTACAAGCGGTGAGAAAATTTTCCTCACTGAATAAAACTATTATTTACACTACTTCATGTAAGCGTAAGTGATCTTTTAAATTTTTCCGTCGTAGGAACGCCATGCCACATAAATCACATTTGTGGTTTTTCTCCCCAGTATGAATAACCATGTGCCGTTTAAGAGTCTCTTTATTACAAAATCTCTGCAAGCAAATTTTGCACTGATGGTTCCTCTCTTGCAAGTGTACTGAGCGGGTATGGCATATCAGGTGATATTTCAGGTTGAACCCACGACCACAAGTCTCACATTTATGAACCCTTGTTGACTGATTGTGGACATCCTGTAAATGTATCGTCCTTCTGTAATTTGAATTAAACCGTTCAGGGCAAATTGGACACCTTCGTGGATACTGTTTGAGATGCACACCGCGTATATGCAGAGATCTTTTGTGTGTCGTGCTGAATACTTTATTACATCTATCACATGGAAAATTGCCAGTTTCATGCACTTCCAAGTGCTTTTTCAATAGACGTAGTGTCATAAAGCCGGATCCGCAAATTTCACAGCTATAGTTATTGAAATGAACACTCATATGAATCACAAGAATTCTCACTTTTATAAACACTTGCTCGCAGATCACACATTTATAGGAACCCTCTTCTTCCTCTAATTTAAACGGAATCATATTATCTTGCAGATTTGGATCTATGGGTTTCTGGTGAATTTCCTTTAAATGAATTTTAAGTTCTTGTAAACTTTTTGGCTTGACTGTGCATAGCTTACACATTAATTCACCAACATCAACTTTTAGGACGTTTTCTCTCCGATTATTAAGAAGTCTCTTTAAGGGAGTGAAGGTATGAGTCTCGGTCATGTGCTGTCTCAGGAGAACAGTTTCAAGAAATGGTTCAGCACAAACAAAACATTTAAATTTATTATTACCATAGATAAAAGGATACACGGTGGAGAATTCAAAAACTGTCAACGCATTTTGTCTATAATCTGCTTGTTTATTAGTGTTTTTTGTTATAGATATGACAGGGTTCACAATTTTGACGGGACTCGGGCTTCTTTTTCCTAATGATACGGGCGACGGACTACGAGACGGTGTAAAAGCTCTCAACGCAGGAGGAGGTGAAGGTATTTTAATTTTGCTTCTAAGACGCAATTTTCGAAAGGCTGTCACCGTTCCCAAAGGTTTACATAGCGTCCGATCATAGGCCACTTGAAAAAGTGGTATAATCCTTTTTGCTGGCACCTGTTTTTCTGTTGCTATAGAGTCCGCGCCTAAAAACAGAAACAAACTCTGTAGTTTCTCCCCATTATCTTGAACATGCAGTGATTTAGGTGTTACAATTAGGTGCAGATTAGATCATATCCAACTATACATCTCGATTTTAACTGTACAAATCCAATATGAAAAGTTAATTTTTTATACAATATAGTTTAAAAGTGTCATTTACATATAAGTTATACCTAACTTCCTTCCGTATCAATAGAAAAACTTATCAAATGAGTACGAATGATAATAATAACGTTTTATGAGATAAGATTTTGAAACTCATCCGTTTTAATTGATGGATGATTAACTTTGACGTGATGTTTCAAGCTGCATTTCTGTACAAATGAACCTCCGCAAATTGTACAAACAAATCTCCTATCATTATCATGAATTCTCATATGCTCCCTTAGGGTGTATTTTCGAGCATAAGATTTTTTACAAATATTACACTGAAACTTTCTCTCTCCACCGTGTCTTATCATGTGTTCCTTTAACTCTGATTTGGAATAAAACTTCCATTCACACACGTCACAAGCATGTCTCTTCAATTTTAAATGCACCGTCCGTACATGAACGCCTATCTTTCCACTGGACGTAAACACTTTTGGACATAGCGAACACTTAAATTCTTTTAATTTCATCCCATGGACTGTTGATATATGTTTGTTCCTTTGAAAGTAATTGCGAAACGTTTCAGGGCAGTATGGACATCGGTGCCTTTTAACTTTCTTGTGAACCGTAGCGTAATGTTCATTTTTTGCATTCATTGATCTGAATACTTTATCACAGATTTCACAGGCAAATGCCCCGGTCTCATGCGAGAAGGCGTGAGTACGCAGTCGATCTGGAGTTATAAATCCAGTCCCACACTGCTCACATATAAAATTTTGATAGTGAACATTCATATGATGATTTAAAGTTTTGAATTCATCAAATTTATCCTTACACATTGCACAAGGGAAACTATTTTTCGTTACTTTGAATGGTAGTACACCATCTTGGGAATTTATTTCTATATTTATATTATGTTTATCTACTAAATGTTGTTTTAACTCTGGAAAGCTATTTATATCTGCCATGCATAGCCTGCAGCTTAGATCCGATATATCTACTTTAACTAATTCATGTTTTTTAAGTCTAGATAATGCCGCTTTAGTTTTTGCAGAACCGTGGACTTCATGATGTAATCCATTATGATGTCTTAAAATAGCAGGGTCAGTGAACTGTTGATCGCAGTAAAAACATAAATACAAATTCTTCATCCACCTAAATGGACATATTTTTGTGTTTTCGAGCAAAATACAGGCATTTCTCTTCTTTGCCTTTATAGCATCCGCGTCTTTGAGTTTTCTATCGTTCTCTATACGCGTCTCATTTTCTGTGTTCAGAGTTTGTCCAAATTCCTCGTCAATCTGACCTAAAAATGATAAAACACGTGCATGAGCGTAATGCCAGTAAGTACCACATGCAATAAATGAAAAACTTATGTAAAAATGATCTTGCGGTTTCAAGTAACCGCTCAAGCACGTGATTTGTATCATTATTTATAGTAGGGGAGCCCAAGAGGGGATTTTCTGTAGTTACTCGAGCGCGGCAGATTAATATACAGGGGGATACCTTGTACCCGGTTAAGTACCTCCACAAAACATGAGGCCCATATATAAGGCCGCCCGTGAAGGATACAGGATCAGATTAGTAAAAAAAAATTGACCACCAGAAATTCTCGAGCGCGTCAGATTAAGGTAGGGTGAGTTAATTACATCCTAAAAAGTGTATATTCCACTAATCTGACAATTTGAGAGTGACGTAAAAAAAGGGGAGGGCAACAAAGTTGTAAAAAAAAGACGTCATCTCGACATTCTCGAGCGTAGCTAATTTTTTTTTTATTTTGAAGGAAATAATGCAAGAATAATGAAAAATATATAATCTGACGATTTCCGCAAGCCGAAATAACAAAAATTCGTCGATAAAGTTAAGTGCGTGCAGCTGCGTGATGCCTACATTTCCTTCTCCGCGTTTCTGTTCCTCTCTCACTCTTTATCTATTACTCACTCTTTATCTATTACTCTCTCATCCATCCCCACTCTGGTTTCTGCCGCCATGACACCATCATAGCTGATCATAAAGAGTCTAGGGGTGTGCGAACATCGTTCGAATCGAATCGAATATCAATATTCGATTCGAAATTCTAAAAATTTCGAATAATTCGTAAAAATTTCGAATAATTCGAAAGTTTTCGAATAATTCGCGAATTAATGAAATATCTCTGCCAAAATAATATAAAAAAATAAAAAAAAATAAAATAAAATGCCATAAGTACAATTTTAAGCGCACAGGAATGGAATTAGCGGGAAGTTGCAGGTATGGCCTTTAAGGTGAACCGTTTTTCTAATTTTTTTTTGTCAGATCAGGCGAATCCCTCTAGATAATCGTCAGATTACGAGACAGTACGTTTAGAACATAAAGATGAACCATATATATCTTAATCTGACGCGCTTGAGTATTTCAAAATTGCGATTTTTTTTTTGCACATTATGAAAATGGCCGCGAGTTTGCGTCCCATCGAAATCGTCAGATTAGTGAATGAGAGCTTTTTTTTGGTGCACTTAACACTCCCTTAGAAAATCTGACGCGCTCGATTAAATTTTTTTTTTTCATTTTCAACCCTTAAATACAACCACCCGCATCATGCAAACGATCAGATTAACATACGTACATTATTAAAAATACGTAGGGCATTTATGCTATCAATATCTGACGCGCTCGAGGATGTCTATGCAACAGTTTTTTTTTACATATTTAAAAATCTATAGCCGCTTCCCCCACCGATGTAAAGGTATATATCATATAACATTTTTTTCTTCTTATCGTCTAAGCTTTGCATCCCAATAGGTCTCTACGACGCTCGAGTAAATCCCCATTTAGCTTCGTGGGCTCCCCTACCATTACAGATGAGTTCACTTTTGTCTATGTAAGTAGGTATATGCCACGTCTGTATGGTGTTTTTTTTAAGATCAATAAAGAATATAATTTTGATGGCATATCTTATTTCCATTTAAAATGAGTATAAGAAATTCTAAACTGAGTAGAACCAAATATAAAGCAATATTGTGACTTAACGAGTGACAAGCAATCCACAAAAAATTTAAATGTTTATTATGACACGTTAATTATTAGAATTTTCTTCGAGGACTTAAATGTTTAAGAATGTACTACCTCACCCAGTGATCGAAATTAGATCATCTTTTTTATTGATAGCAGAGATTATAGACAAATAAGAAATGTAAGTACTTTTTCGCATATTTCATTTAAAAATTATAATAAAGTGTTTTAAATAAAACTATATATTTTCGCAGATTTATTTGGATTTTAGGTTCCCGACGTTTCGAATGCTTTACAGCATCCATGGTCACGGGAGAGACTGAGGTGTTAGATGTCTCGAAGGTATAGTGCAGACAGCCTACCCAAAATTAACAAAATGAAAATTTCACCAATTACCTTACAATATTTTTTAACTTTAAACATTTTTATAATTTTAATTACTTTTATAATTGAATATGGAATATTATTTATTTAATTTTGCTGTTATTATTATAATTATTACAATTTTAAAATATTAATTAGTAATCTATATTTAGTGTTGCCATTATTATATTTATAACCATAAAGAAAAATATAAAATATAGTATTAATTATTTTAGCCACATAATTGTTCTATGTGTAATTTAAAAGTTAAAATTAATTAAGGATAATAATTTTAATTTAGTTTGCTATTATTTAAAAAGACAATTTACTAAGCAACACTATTACTATATACTTTTACAAATGAAAAATATTAATCTGATATGCTGTCATTTTGTTCCACACAGTAAGAACTTACTACATCTGCCTGTCTGTTATGTTTAAATTTATTATTAGATTTTATTATATTAATAATAGGATCCCATGACGATGGTAGTACCCAGCCATCTTCCCTATTGAAATTTGGATGTTTTTTAAATTAAAAAACATCCAAATTTCAAAAGGGAAGATGTCCGAAAAGATAGTTTTATTTAAAATGTCAAATATTCACGTAAATCTAAGAAAGTATTATTATAATAAAGTAGTAAAACTATACATATCTTAAAACAATTTTTATTCTTTTCTCATATAATTTTGCATGATTAATTTTCTAATGATTAAATAAGTACAAACATGTAAAAGTTGATTTTAAATTAAAAATAAAATAGTACGACATTCATACAGACATACGGCTCATGTCAAGGTTTTTTTTGTTAATAGTCTACTCCTCGAAGGACCAGCCATATACATTTCACAAATGTTCCGCCTTCGATCAACAATAATACTAGATATCTGGCCGGCGTAAAAAAATCCGTCTCGGTAAATATACGCTCAATTGCAAAGTGAGCGTATATTTCGATTTACAAGATGGTATGGTGTTTAATAAAACTATTTTATAACTTTGGTCTTGGTTCGATAGTATACAAATGTAGATGTATAAGTACATATTCGCGCGGCCAGAATGTAGCTTTGATTTTGTATGTGACACGTTATCTAATAGTATTGTTGATCGAAGTATTCCGCCCACAAAAATAAAATCTTTCTTTTCGATCGAACAACGCGGGACTAACAAAGAATATTACCAATTTTTTTTATTAATATATATTAATTATATTACCACTGTCCAGTTCTAAATGTACAGCAATAACTTATAGACTAGCTGGCTAAAAATGGGACATTCGAACATTTATAAAATATCAGATTTCACTTGCATAGGATGGTGTACTCTCACATGTTGTTTCAAACTACATTTCTGAATGAACGACTGCCCGCAAACCGGACAAACAAATCGCCTATCATTATTATGAATTCTCATATGCTCGCGTAAAGTTTTTAATCTGGCATATGACTTCTTGCATACGTCACACTGGTATATCCTCGCGCCTACATGTTTAACACTATGCTCTTGAAGTTCATAATTACTAAAGAATTTCATGCCACAAACTGTACAGGCGTGGTTACGTTCTTGCAAATGATGTGACCGTATATGGGCAGTTCTGCGACTACACAGATCGAACACTTTCTGGCAAGATGGACATGGAAATAAGGCTGTCTTTTCCCCATGAACTGTATTCAAATGTTTCATCCTATATTTATAGGATGCGAATTTTTCATCGCAAATGGGGCATTTGTATCTTTTGTTTAGCCGATGTACTTTTGCTATATGAGCGTACAACGCCGCGTAAGAAGTTAGAGTCTCTCCACAGTGCTTGCATGGGAAATCTCTCCTTTCATGGGTCCTTGAATGATTTAGCATCCTTTGCGTCGTTGCGAAGCCTTTACCACAAGTTTCACAAATAAAATGCTCGTAATGATCGTTCATATGCTTGTGGAGACTTAAGAACATTTCATATCTTTTCCCACAAACCTGACAACAATGTTCGTCCTTACTCAATTTGTACGGCAATATTGAATCTCCATATTTGTTGTCCAATACTTTCCCATGTTCTCGTAAATGCGTCTTTAGTGTAGAGTAATTATTGATCGCTTTCCCGCAAAGTTTACATTTGGCGGTGGCAAAATCCATCTTTAGCGGCTCATATTTCTTGAACTTAAAAAAAAGATCTGTATGTTCATTTTGTGTGTGCTCTCTTAATTTTTCCGGTTCGAGAAATGTATTTCTACAGAAGAAACACAAATAAGTTCCTTTTCTATACTTAAACGGGTATGCAGTACAAGTTGTCATAATAATTTTAATATTTTTTCTAAACGCAGCGCGTCTTTCGTTGCCCTCATTTCTTCGTTCGATCCCTTCAGCTTTGGCGACTGTCATAGCAGTGCTATTGTCAATGACAATATTAATATCCGTTTCCTGTATTATGTCAACGTCTGCTGTTTTTCTTCCTAAAAATAAAAAAATATCCGATATAACTTCTTCTTGTTATTCCCGGCATACGGATAGAATTGTAATGATGTGATAAGACTGGTAACATTTTAAATTAATGAATGTTTTCTTCAAGTGTTAATCTAATTTTCTTACTATTAGATAAATAATGATTATTATAGTAATGGTATCTTATTGTATAGAAAAGTAAACTACAAACACGCATGTTATATGACATTTTAGTAAGATAAATTTAGATACTAAAATCAATTCCCCAAATATTTTGTATAAAAATATATCCATTCGAAATTTAAGTTTCTCTAGAGGTGTTAACAAGATCTATAAAAAAAATAACTCAGTTATGTACTAAAATAAAAAAATAAATAATACTTAAGGTTTTATTTCAGAAAATACTTTAATGCGAGCAAGAATTATATATGTATATTTATAATAACTAGCTAATTAAATAAATATTAAATTGATATTTTCACAGATTCCGCGTTTGGATGATGTGTTCGGATATGACTTTTAAGACTGCACTTTTGAATGAACGCATTATTGCAATATTCACAGACAAATCGTCTATCATTATTGTGTATTCTCATATGTTCTTTTAACGTTCGAGCCCTCGCGTAGTTCTTCTTACACACGTCACACTGGTACTCCTTAAGGCCACTGTGCTTCACCAAATGATTCTTTAACTGTCCAGCTGTGACAAACTTGCTTGGGCAGAAGTCGCATTGGAACTGTTTATGTTTAATATGAACGTTTCTTATATGCTTCGTTCTTTGATCGGACATTGCAAAAACCGCTGCGCACAAATGGCAGGGATATTCGACGATCTGATTGTGGAATTGTTTCAGATGTCTCACTCTGTCGGAATATCGTTTGAAGGATATTTTACAGTACGGACATCTGTATCGATTTTCTGCAGCATGTTTTGTGTTTATGTGATAATTTTTTAATGCTCTCGTCTCGAATATTTCGTCGCATTTAGTGCATTTATGTTCTTGATCGTTTGATTCGTGGATCAACTGATGAGCTTTTAGGCGGTGAACAGCAGAGAAAGATTTACCACAATGGGAGCAAATATTGTTAGGGTAATGTTGGTTCATGTGGCTGTTGAGTCTCGAAAACAATAAGAATCGTTCGTCGCAATGAGTGCAAAGCATTTCCTTGTCCCTTAAAATAAATGGAGTTACGCCAAGTCCTATATCTTTCACGATTGGCTTTTGGTGAACTTCAAATAAATGGTCTATAAGATGTTCTATGCCATTCATATTTTGCTGGCAGATTTCACATCGAAGATTACTTATTTCAATCTTTACATTATCGTAGGGTCGCGCGTATCGCATTGCCTCGAGGCGATTGGGATGCTCCTGCATATGATCGCTAACATCTTTAAAATTGCCGAATGTTCTTGGACAATGGGAACACGCAAATGCTCCACGTTTCCAGCGAAAAGGACAAACGTTTGAAAATTCTATTAGAGTCGCCGCATTATCTCTTTGGTCATTATAAAGCCTTCGTCTCCTTTTCCACATAAATGTCTTGACCGTTCCTAAAAACAAAAGAATTCCACTATCAAAAGGCTATCTAGGCACAAAGTGTACTATGTTGGTAGTGTTTAAACCTAATATTTACCTAGATTCCTCTGGCCATAGTAAGTGCACTCTTAATTAAATAAAAAATATATATTAAAATAAATGGTTTTATTACAAAACTGTAGTCTTAATAGTTCTTAAAATAAATTCACTTTTGCTTTGTATATTTCTTGACACAATCGAATAAAAAATGTACATACAGAATTTCATCTTATTCTAAATGGAATGTTCAGGAGAAGTTATAAAATTGTAAAATGTATATTAAATTATATAATACTCGCATTATTTCACTAGGTTTCCCGATATTTTTGATGTATTTCTCTTAGTCTCTATCGTTTTGATTCGCAGTAAAGTAGTTTAAAAAAATGTTAAAATGACTCTTGCACTGAAAATCTGACATTCACTGGTTAGCTTCTAAAGTTCTTCTAATGATAAATACCTTTGTTTAAGGTATCTTTTTTTGTTTATGCACAAGCCTCATATGAGAATAACGCGACGTTCCTGTACTAAATATTGCTGGGCACATTTTGCATCTATATTCACTTTTCTGTCCATGTATTTTACCAAGGTGAATCAGTCTAGAATGACAAGACTCGAATGCCATGGCGCAAATTGGGCAGCGATAACGTTTTTTCGAACCATGAACAGTGGCAACATGTCGATTTTTAATGACATGGTTTAAAAACACCATGTCACACCTTGAACATGGCACTTTGCCAGTTTCGTGACATTTCTGGTGTGCCCGAAGCTTATATTTAGCCGAGTATCCTTTCCCACATGTATAGCAAACAAAACTTTGGTAATGCTTATTCATGTGACTAAACAAGTTCACGTAGCTTTCAAATAAATTATCGCAAATAACACATCTGTACTCTGAACCAGTTAATACGAAAGGAATAACACCATCATCATAATTTGCGTCAAATTTTTTATCGTGCGCTCCAATTAAATGGTTTTTGAGATCTGTCAAATTCTTCAAGTTGTTATCACACAGCTTGCATTTTAGATCTGTGATGTCTATTTTAAGAGGAAAGGAATTGCGAACTTCCGGTTTCTGTAGGACTGTAAGTTTATCATGTATATCACAATGTGTGCGGATTTCTTTCACATTTTGAAACGTTTCTGGGCAATAAGCGCAGAGAAATTTTCCACGCGACCAACGAAATACTATAGCGTTGGAGCAATCTAATATTAGGGCAGAATTCGCCTTGTTCTCTAAAAATGGGCGTTTCTTTCTCCACTCAATCTTTATTGACCTTTTTGTTGTTTCCAGCTCTTCTGGGCCTAAAAATAGAAAAAAATACCGTAAACTATTTCTGTTTAATCTTTAAAAACTTCTCATTTGTTTCATGCGTCATTATATGTCGTTTGAGTTTCGATTTACTAACAAAGTACCATGGGCAATTGGGACAGTCGTAACGTTTTTCCAAAGGTTTATGGTTAATGCGAACATGGGCTGCACGTTTACAACTTGTCTCAAACAATTTCCCGCAAGATGAACACTTATAATCTCTTTTTTGCTGATCATGTCCATCTACTAAATGTTTAGCTCTGGCATAATAAGTTGTGAATACTTCAGGGCAATATGGGCATGTATATCGAATGCCTTTTTTATGTATCCTTAATCTGTGGCACATTCTAGCAGCCCTAGTTTCTAGTACCTCCTTACACTCCCCACAAGGGAAACTACCGACTTCATGTGACTGTACGTGAGTTCTAAATCTTGATTTTGATATAAATGCTTTCCCACATGCATCGCAGACGTAGTTTTTATAATGAGTGTTCATGTGTTCGTTAATTTTGCAAAAACTAGAGAACACTGCATTACACATTTGACAATTAAATCTATTAGGTTCTAGTATGAATGGCAGAACACCATCATTATAGTTTAGGTAAAAAAATTTTTCGTGCACAGATATTAGATGTTTCTTCATCAATTCCACGCTACTAAGTTGATAATCACACAATCTACAGCGTAAGTCGGAAACGTCTATTTTAACCATGTTATTTTCAGTGAGTTTTGAGAATATACGCCTTGTAGGTACTTCAATAATATGAAAAGTCCGAACGTGATCTCTCAAAAGTATTGGGTCAACAAATTTAGTATCACAATAGGAACAATAAAAAGCGCTTTGGAACCATCGAAAAGCCCAAGCTGTAGAATATTCTAGAAGCGTCATAGCATTTCGACGCATCATCGTTTTTGATATTCGCTTCTCAGATTCCTCTGGGAGCTCATTGTTGGCACGCCGCCGCCGACGCATCTGCCGCGCGCAAACGTTCTCCTTTAACTTTCTAACGCGTCTTTCTACCACTACATCTTCAGAGTCCGCAATAGCGGAACCTAAAAAGAAAATAATACTTTGTTACTAATTTTAGTACCAAAGCCCCAACACATGCACAAATATCTAAATAAACCTTTCTAAACTGGATTGAAACTAGCATTTTTTCATAATACTTTTATTGAATAAAAATAGTAATTTTCATAGGAAACATCAGCTGAAAAGTGTCTTCAGTTATTAAATCTTCTGCAATCCAGAAAGCATGATATCACTTATCTCCGGATGGATTGAGCGTAAATGTGTCACTAATAGGGCTTTTTGTTTAAAAATGACGCCGCACCAATTACAACTAAGATCTTCATGAGTTTTGAGATGAGTTTTCAGTGCTCTATTTCTTGGGAAGGTCTTTCCACATACCGCACAACAAAAATTTCTTTCACCCGTATGTTTCACCATGTGCCTTTTTAATTCGTAGCCAGTTTTAAATAACCATTTACAAAAAGGGCAAGGAAAATTGCGCTGTTGAGGAAAATGTATCGACCGTACATGGATTGCTCGCTTTCCACTAGTTTTGAAAGATAATTCACAGTGAGCACATTTATAAGAAACCTCCTTTTCTCTATGAGCTTCATTCAAATGATTCATCCTTTCATAATAGCCTCCAAATCTCATATTACATTGTGGACATTCGTAACGAGGTCCTTTTGCGTGGGCGTGGGCTTTGTGATAATCTCTGGCCGCACGCATAGTGAATACTCGCCTACACTTATTACATGGAAAGGTGCCCGTTATATGGACTTCAGAATGTTTACGTAATCGAGGCGCTGTCATGTACCCTTTTCCGCAAGTCGCACAAATGTAGTGCTGGTAATGTATATTCATATGTTCATACAGTTTGAGGAAGTTATTGAACGACTCTTGACATATTACACACCTCCACGACTCTTTGTCCAAACAAAATGGTAGAACACCATCGGGATAAGAGGAGTCTACGTCATAACCATGGTTTATTACGTGGTGCTTCATATCTGTTACATCTTGAAACGGCATGGCGCAAATTCTGCATATGGCTTCAGTAATGTCAACGTTTATGAGTGACATTTCTTTGAATTTACTGTAAATATCTTTAACACTGTGTTGGGTCGAGCAAAGTCTAACGTGAGACCGAAGCTCTGAGCATTCAGTGAAATTATCTTCACAGTAAGCGCATTTAAATCTATTCCTTTTCCATCTAAATGGACATAAAGACCAACATTCAAGTATAGCACTGGCATTCTTCTTTGTCATAAATCTGGCTTCAGCTCTAGCACTTCTTTGATAACCTCGTTTTTCAGTCACTTTTGAATTACCTAACAATAAACTTTCAGTTGACTTATCAGTGTCGTTTTCTGTCTGACCGCGTTCTCCTAAAAACAGAAAACTTGAGTCAGTTCTTCCACCGTCCATTATAATATTTAGAAGCAACGCATGCGCGCTTTTGCTCCTGGCTATACTTTATATATCTTGATTTGCAACTTTTCGATTTTTTAGGTTAATTTAAAATAATACATTGAACTCTAATATTTCATTATACGAACGTTTTGACGAGAGTTAATTTAAAAAGTAGCAATAGTGTTATAGAATTAGCATTTTCGATATGAAAAAGATTAAAATAGTTTCAGTCACTACCCTCACCCCAAACTAACGTCGTAAAACGATCAAAACAACCGTGATAACATTTTAGCACATTTTAACTTTTTTTTTTAACTTTTCACAAAAATGAAACTCATTATAAATTTATAATAATTTAATTAATATGTCTTTATTTTTAATACTTAATAGTTAACATTGCTTGTAAGTTAATTAACTTAATATTTACAGTATGTGTAAAAATAAAAAAGCTAGATTAAATAAAATAAATAATAATATTGATAGTAATTGTACGAGATATTTACACAAAAATAAAATATTATGGGTTATCGTATGTATATATGTATAGGTCTTAGTCTTTTCTTTCCAGCACAATTGTTTTAAAACGAACGCAATTTAAATATTTCGACCAATTTCGCCACTGTGTTTACATTTTACCCAATATTTTTAACTGAAACAACAGATAAAATTCCTGACTCAATTATTCCTACATTTCCCAATCCTAATCAATCCAGCAATTTCCATTTATTTGAAAGACTTAACGTCTAGTTGTACATAGCTTAAGTACTGCAAGCTGAGATCATATAGTTTACTAGCATTGCCCGCTCCTCTGCCCGCATTCACATGACCAAAAACCAAATTCTTTGGTTTTACATATTAGTATACTCTTACATTGCAGTTATTATATTTTTTCTCAAAAATGAGATATTTTCCCACGGTAAAAAGTTGACATCTGTTGACCCGGATAACCAGCTATCATCATACCAAATTTCATAAAAATCTATCACGTGGTTTTCTCGTGATGCGGTAACAGACAGACAAAAATTGTAAAAACTATAGATTCGGACTCTGTATCATTTCTATTATCTATTTCCATTAGATTTTCCAAAAAATATTTAATGTACAGATTCGACTTAGTTACAATTTTATTATATGTATAGATTAGTTACATAAGTGTTTGTCACTTGAAAAATTAATAAATAAAGTTAACTTAAGTTTTATTCTAACTAAAAGTGAAATATCAGACATGAAAATGTTTTTTTGCTATATGTTTATCCAATGAAAGTTTTGTCGCGAAACCTCTCGCGCAGTGTCCACAAGAAAATCCAAAGTCCATTTCTTTTTTCGTACGATGGACTTTTACGTTGTGATGATATTTTTGGGAGCGAGTTTTAAACATCATATGACATGTTGTGCATTCGTACATTTCTGCTCCCGGTTTATAGTTATGAATTTCCATTAAATGTCGTTTTCTAAGTTCCCAAGTGGCAAATCGTGGCTTGTCTTTACAGTAAACACACATGTAAGGAAGAGTTGTATGCTGAGTTTTTACATGAACATTTCTCTCTTCCAAAGTAGAAAATGTCGCTATACATCTACTGCAATTGTATTTATTATCATGTGGGATCTTTGTGTGAGCTCTGAGAGCCACTTCTGTTATGAAACCTTCCCCGCAAGTATCGCACACATAGTTCTGGTAATGTTCTGCAGTGTGTTTTTTTAAGGATATAAAGTCTGAAAATTGTATTTTGCATATCGCACATTTCCAACTCGAGCCATCGTTGAGTTTGAATGGAAGTACTCCAGGTTGAACGTCTATATTGACGGGTTGTTTATGATCATTTTTTAAATGTGTTAAAAGATCGTCGAGAGTATCTATATGCATAAAGCATAACTTACACTGTAAGTCAGTTATATCAACTTTAAGGAACTCCTTACGTAATTTTCTACTGAATACAAGTTGGATATCAAAATTTGCATGTCGTGATGCCATATGAGCGCGTAAACCGTTTGGATCATTTGACTGTACACGACAGAAAACACAATTGAAATTCTGACCCCAGGTCCGAAAAGGACATGCGGTAGAACATTGTAATATAATTTCAGTATTAAAACGATGTTTTAAGGCTTTTCCAAAACGTGGCTTATATGTAGCCTTGTAACATTTAAAATTGCGCTCGTGTTGCTTAAGGCCATGTTCGGATAAGAAAGTAGCCCCACATTTATCACACGTAAAAATTTTCGCATGACTGCGTAGGTGTCCATTAATTTGGGAAAATTCAGGAAAAACTTTATCACAATCTAGACACATCCACACTCCGGTTTCATTTTGTTTATACGGTAAAACACCGAAAGGTACATCAAAATTAACAGTTTTGCCGTGGTTACGGGACAAGTGGGTCATGAATGTTTCAACACTCTGAATGTTTTCCGAGCATATGTTACATTTAAAATGGCTTATATCTACTTTTAAATCGTCCACAACTTTATAAAAAGCGCTGTTGTAATCAGCGTTTATATGTGTGGTTTTGACATGATCTCTTAAAGCTTCCATAGGTTCGAATTCATCGTGGCAATATGAGCATAATATTCTATTAAATCTAGTCTTAAACGGAATAGCAGTTGAGTGCTTAAGTATTAACACAGCATTTCGCCGTTGAGGGTTCTGCTTAACGGACCGTTCAAATAAACCTTTTTTTGGTTTACCCTCTTTTTCTTTGTGCCCGTCAATATCCTTTGTGGTCCCTAAAAAAAGAAAAGAACCACATCATTATTTCAGTCTAACAAATTCTTCTCTTACTTTAAGGACCTTCAGTCATAGTAATGCCAAGAATAAAAATTTTAAACAATTTTAGACGACTTTTAAGTATTCTAAATTGATCTGTTATGCCTACAGAACATATTAAGCATCAAAATGCTTTTTCGCGATGTGCTTATCCAGAAATAACTGAGTAGTAAAAGCCTTCGGGCAACTGTGGCACGGGTAATTGAGTTCGGTATCTTTTTTTACTCTATGCGTCCTTGCCATGTGGTTATACTTCCCTGATCTAGTTTTAAATGATTTTTGACAGGTCGCACATTCGTATTTGTCAGCACCAGTCTTATAATTATGAACTTCCATCAAATGTTTCTTCCGAAGTTCCCAATTAGCAAAGCGAGGCTTGTCTTTGCAATAAACGCACATATATGGAGTCGACGTATGCTGAGTTTTTACATGAATGTTTCTCTCTTCTAGACTAGAAAATGTTGCCACGCATCGACTGCAATTGTATTTATTTTCATGGGGTATTTTAGTATGTGCGATCATGGCAGATTCAGTTATGAATCCTTCACCACATGTATCACAGACATAATTCTGAAAGTGTTCAGATGTGTGTTTTTTTAAAGAGACAAAGTCTTTAAATTCGTTTGGACACATTGTGCATTTCCAAATCGACCCATCATTTAGTCTAAATGGTAATACGCCAACTTGGGCATCAGAATTTATTGGTTGTTGATGATCGTTCTTTAAGTGATATGTTAAAGTTTCAAAATTTTCAATTCGCATAAAACATAATTTACATTGAAGGTCGGTAATGTCAATCTTAAGAAATTCTTTCCCTAATTTTTTATAGAATGCTGCTTGTACATCGTAATTTTCATGTCGAGTCGCCATATGACTTCTAAGCGTACTCGGATCACTTGATTGCACCCTACAAAATACACAGTTGAAATTACTCTTCCAGGTTCTAAACGGACAAGCTGTAGAACATTGAAGAATAATTTCAGCATTCGTGCGAGGTCTCATAACCCTGCCATTACGAGGTTTATAGGCAGTCCTAAAACATTTAACTTGACGCCGATGGTCACGCAACGCGTGATCAGAAATAAATGTTGTACCACATTTATCACAGCTAAAATTCATAAAATGTGTTGCGATATGACGTTTGAACTGAATAAACTCTACATAGGTTTTCTGGCAGTACACACACACCCATTGATCGTTTGCGTTTTGTTTATATGGTAATACACCGAACCGCGCATTGAATTTGACAGATTTGTTATGTTCTCTAGACAAATGACCCATTAAAGTATCTATATCTTGAATGTCCTGACTGCATAGATTACATTTAAGGTTAGTTATGTCGACTTTCACTAAATTATCTTTAGTCCTATAGAATACATTTTTAAAATCAGTGTTGACATGTTCAGTTTTCATATGGTAACGAAGATTGGACAACGTGTTATATTCATCGTGACAATACGCGCATAAAATCTGACTAAAACGTGTTTTAAATGGATAGGCAGTGGAATGCCTGAGTATAAGTTCCGCGTTACGACGCTGTGGCGTCTGATATACGAGTACTATTTTCTTTTTCTCACTCTCATTCTCACTACGCCCGCGAATTTCCAATGTCGACCCTAAAAACAAAAAAGAAATTGGTCAATGTCAAACCAAACACCGTAGAAACCTAACTGTGGTGCGGGAGATTAAAACATAAACAAGGAATGTCTACGAAATGTTTATTTTGAAAAATCTATCTAAAATATTTTAAACTTCCAATGTGATTTCCGGGTGGTGAGTTTTCATATGGCCTTTAAGGCTCACTTTCTGTGCAAACTGTTTAGTACAAATGACACAAATAAAACGTTTATTGTCACTATGTATCCACATGTGCTGTTTCAAGCTTTTACTTCTCGAGAACAACTTTAGGCAAACACTACATCTATAAGGTTTCTCGCCAGTATGACAAAATCTGTGCTCCTCCAGTTCTCTTTTAGTTCCGAATTTCATTCCGCAACAGGAACACACGAAACTGTCGTCACTATGATTCACTTTAAAGTGAGTATAGAAATGTTTGCGAGATTCAAAAGTTTCCTCGCAATCCGGACATTCGTACATTCTCTTTTGCCGGCCATGCACTTCAACTAGATGCTTCTGTTTAGTTTCCCACGACAAGAAACGTTCACCACAACTGATGCAACAGAAGGTCCAACAACGTTTAGATTCCCTCAAATGTTCTCTTTTCTTTTCCAAAGTCGGAAAAGCTGTCCAACATTTCCTACAAACGTGGTCCCCATAAGTGTGACTGCAACGAATGTGATATTTCAAAGCTTCATTTTTCAAATAAGTTCGCCCACACACATCGCACGTATATTTTTGATAGTGAGAAGTTGTGTGTCTACATAATTTAGTGAGCGACGGCATCTTTTTATCACAGAGAAAGCAAACCCATTTCTCGCCGTCCATTCTATAAGGATGCATACCAATTTCAAAATTCAAATCAATTTTCTTCACATCGTGAACTTCACGAATATGCTCAGCTATTTCTTCTAGATTGTTACAAGGCAAAGAGCAGATCCTACATTTTAGATCTGTAAGGTCAACTTTAAGGTACTCTTTGCCATATCCACAGTGTGCCAGAGCAGTGGATACTGTGAATGTTTTGTGAGCTTCATCTAAATGACCCCTATAGTCTTTTGGGTCTTCGTATTCTTCACAGCAGTAGACACAAATCATAGTTTTGCTTCGAATTCTGAACGGGTAAACCGTAGAATATTGCAAAACTAGTTCGGCGTTCCGTTTAGTCATCTTTAAGCGACTGGGTTGTTTGGAGTCTAGAAAAAAAAAGAAAATTTCCATGTTGACTCATTAAGTCTTCTGTGGGTTTTTTTTTGTATTTTGCTGTAAATTTAAGCTGATGTAAATGTGTTGTTAAAATGGATATTTTTATAGATGAGAAAATATTTAATAACTATATATTCATGTTTTAGTAGTAACTAATAAGTTAATAATAATTGAGTAAAAAGTGACGAATCAAATTTGTGTGAATGAAAGTTTCGTTTATTATAGGAGTTTTTACACTTGATGTTAACTATATCAGGTTATATTTAAATCGATATTTTTTTTTAAATATGAAGCCTAAAAATTTTGACAGCAAAAATGTACAGGTTGTGTAAGGATAAAATTTACATTCAGGTAAAAAAATATTTCTGATACACAACTGTCATTGCATCTTTTCCATGTACCTATGTACCAAATTATGGACTTTGAATTGAATTTTTTTACAAGAGTATTTATTTTTCCAGGGATAAATCGAAAAAACAATGTTTACTAAAAAAGATCAAAACTGCTAATTTAGGGACTTTTTCATAGCCGTGTTATCAATTTAGTCAATATTTGCTAATCCCTAACGTAACTCCTTAACCAACTTTTATTTGTTAATTTTACTAATAATATCAAATATTACCATAATGTGAAAACTTTAATAGGAAACTATAGTTAAGTATTCGTTTATCTATATATAAAACTATCGACTCACCCTCGCTTGGCTCAGGTTCGTCCCTGGGTACATTTTAATTTTTTTGAGCGGAACCCTAATTGTTTTACTGAAATAAAAGCTTAAGTTACTCCTTATAACATCAATTACCTTCTAGTGAAAGTCCCGTCAAAATCGGCCAAGCAGTTTCGGAGATTAGCCGGAACAAACAGACAAAATTTTAAAAAATTGTCATATTTCTCCTATATACCGTATATTATTCCATATGCATTTATTAAAAATCTGTTATTTTGACATTACAAACAGACACTGCAATTTTATTTAACTGAATAGATAAAAATATGTACATGAAAGCAAAAAAATGAGGTAACTTAGTGAAATATACGTCGATACATTATTTCATCTTATTTATCTGTATTATATTAGTCATACTTAAAATACATTATTATCTATATATCAATAAGTACTCTACGAATTTAAATGTTTTCTACTTCAGGATGATGCGCTTTCATATGTGACTTATAACTGACGCGTTGATTAAATTGCTTACTGCATATACTACATTCAAACCGTTTATATTCGCTATGGATCCACATATGTTGGGTCAAATTCGCCTTTCTAGGGAATGATTTGGAGCAAATGTCACAATCGAAGAGTTTGAGACCAGTATGGACGACCGTGTGCTGTTCCAAATGTCTTTTAGTGGTAAACTTTCTGCCACACCATGAACACACGAAATTGACTCCAGCATGAGTAGTCGCGAAATGAACTCTGTACGCATTTCTTGATGTATAAACCATTCCACATTCAGGACAGGAATGTGTCTTTTTCGCATGACCATGAACTGTTATTCTGTGTTTTTCCTTCGCCGACCATTTCATAAATCTTTGGGAACATATAAAGCAATGATACGCCCAACATTTTGGAGATGACTCGACATGTTCCCGTTTCGCTTCTAATGAGCTGAAGGTCTGCTTACATCTCCTACAAATACGTTCATCAGGTATATGAGAAAATCTCATATGCTGTTGTAGAGAACCATTCGTTGTATACGACTTTCCACATTCCTCGCAAGTAAAGTTTTGATAATGCGATGACATGTGACGGCTGAGTTGGCGAAGACATGGAAAATTCCTATCACAAATCCCACACAAAAGCTTCTCATTTTCAAATTTGAAAGGCTGAATGCCCAAATGGAATTCAAAATTAATTTTTTGCTCGTGTACTTCGTTTAAATGTTTTGCTACCTCCTCTAACTTTTTGTATGATTGATTACAAATTCTGCATCTTAGATCTGTGCAGTCTGCTTTAAGGTATCCCTCGTAATGGCAATGTGCAAAAGCAGTTTCTACTTTGAACGTTTTATGCTCTTCATCCATGTGTTTTCTATACTGAGACGATTCCGAGTAAGATTCGCAACAATATACGCACATAAGGGACGTCTCAGGCAGCCTGAAGGGGTAGGCTGTGGAGTATTTCACCATGACTTCGGCATTGCGTCTGGCGACTGATAATGGACGTATCGGGTCTAGAACAGACAGAAATGCCTTTGATCAGTTCTTTATGTTCCACCAAAACGCCTATATAACACGTCAGTTATTTCCTATCGATATTTCTATAGATATTTTATGTTTATTTCCGCATTAAAACGATTTCATCCCTTTCAAATCTGTTTTGTTGTTGTGATACAATAGTAATATTCTGGTTATAAGAGTAGAGAGTACGAATTTGTAAATTTGGTCTATTTCTTAGTTATTTTGTGAGAATAGAAACAGGAGAAACATTATATGATTGTACCATATTAAGAATACTTTAATTGCACTTTTACATTATTTTTTTAATTTTACTTCATAAGTCTAGATAAATCTACGTATTTTATTCCTATTCAGATCGACATTATGTCGCAAATCACAAGAAGTTAGGTGTTCTTTAATGCTTTTTTTATTTTTTTATAGGTAATACTTTGTTAGACGACTTTTCTTTTTATTCAAAATGTCATTTTATAGGTTTTAATGTAAAAAGAGAATAGAAAGATATAAATTACTTGAAAAATATTTATTTAACACTATATATAACCTATACAATAATCCTACAATGTACCATGTCTCATATAGACTATGAAACAAAAACAACTTACTTTGATATAACAAATTAATAAAATTTTACTTTAATATTGTACTATTAGTGTCAAAAGATTTCAGAATAAGCGCCCATCATTATGCTGACCAAAACAAATTAATGCTGAACCAAAACTCTTAATGTTAGGTTAGCAATAGGGCTGACATGGAGACACTATTCAAATTTGAAATCTAAGATCGTCTTCGTCTAAACGAAGTTCAAGGCGCTAATTCAATAAACATAAAATCTTTTACTTTTTATAACAATATTTATAATAACTTTAAAAAAAAACTAGCTCAAAACTATTTAAGACTCCTGCAAGTAAAAATCACCATTTATTTTTTTGTTATCGTAATTTTTTCTCTATCGTACAAAAGTCAGGGAAGACCTAGTCATCATTTTTCAAAACAGTGAGAACCATTTTCACTTTACTGTTCTGCATGCCTTGAAAATCAGCTAAGTCCGGATGATACGATTTCATATGAGTTTTCCAACTGACTCTTTGATTAAATTGTTTATTGCATAAAGTACAACTAAACCTCTTTAATTCGCTATGTATCCACATGTGTTGAACTAAATTCTTCTTTCTAGGAAACGATTTAGAACAAACCGGACAAGGAAAAAGCTTTTCTTTCGTATGAATTACTCTATGGTTCTCCAAATTACGTTTCGTATCAAACTTGAGTCCGCAGCATGTGCAAACAAAATTGTCATCTGTGTGCAAAATTTTAAAATGGACGCGGTATTTTTTCCTATCGGGAAACACTTCACCACATTCTGGACATACGTAAGTTCTTTTCGGGGCACCATGAACTTTGGCCATATGCGCTTGCTTGATGTTCCAAGTTAGGAATCTTTCTCCGCAAACGTTACAAAGATGAGACCAGCACTTCTTAGACTGAATTGAATGTTCACGTTTTTCCGATAACGTCGCAAAAGTTTTTTTACACTTTCTGCATATCCTCTCCTGTCCCGAATGAGTGTATGTTATGTGGTGTTTTAAAGATGTTATAGTTGAGTACGATTTCCCACAAGCATCACACGTGTATTTCAGGAAGTGAGATTGCGTGTGCCTACTTAATTGTCTTAGGCATAACGACTTCGCTTTACATATGGCGCAGGCCATTTTATCTTTCTCTAGTTTGAACGGTTGCATGCCCAATTCGAACGATAGATCGAGGGATTGCTCATGTTTATGGTACAAATGGTGAGCAACGTCTTCTAAACTCTCAAACGTGTCCGTACAAAGGCGACATCGTAAATCTGTGCAGTCTACTTTAATGTAGCCTTCTGTGCAGTGAACGAACGCCATACGGACGTTGAATGTTTGGTGTTCCTCGTCCATGTGCTTTCTGTACATGGCGGGATCGTCATAACTTTCGCAACAGTACACACAAACCATAGAATCCTCAGGTAGTCTGAACGGGTACGCTGTTGAAAATTTCACGATAAACTCCGCGTTGCGCTTCGCCATAAAATAGGCGTTTTCGCCTAGAACAAAAAGAAATCCCTTGGTCATTCACAGCTCGCTCGTTATTTAGTCTCTTAATCTTCTTCAAATTTAAGTCTGAACTTTTAAGTTATTTATTAGTCCCTATTTTAACACTTCATAATCTTCGTTCTGCATCCATTATTTCGCCGAAATGGCGCCAGTCGATATTTGCATACGCTTGCGGTAAAAAAGCAGTGAATCGCTGCTATGAATTAAATATTTTCGAATTAACAATTATTGTGGTTAAATAGAGTTTAAATACTTTGTATGAGATAATGAAATATCCAGATAAAATTTATAAATAAACCAAAAATATATATTTTTTATCAAAGAACCTAGTCTCAATTTCTAGAATATGATCCAAATTATAATAATGTTTCTTATCCTAATAACTTATAAGTGTTAAATATAACACAAATAACTATTTTTTACCTAATGAGATTTTTTACAGTGTGGAAAAAATAACTATAAAATATAAATAAAAAAAATGAGCTGACGTTTCCATGAAACTGACCTATCATACTCATTGTGCCAATTCTAACAGTCCCGAACAAATATCGGAATACATGAAAGGAAACCAAATTAATAGCACATAATTCCCTAATCATTAAAACCCCATCACAAAAAGAACATTTTAATAAAAACCAACATGTTAAGTTTTTAATAAATTTAATAACTACGATTCTCCAACGAAATGGTCCACGTAACGCGAAACATAAACAAATACGACAAAATATTATGTATTTAGGATTATATTATTGTGCACAAACGAATAGCTGATATGAAAACGATGACATATGGTCATATACTAATAAGAAATATTAGAAAAGGTCAAAAATCTACTAATTCCGGATGATAAGACTTCATATGTGTCTTCCAACTGACTCGCTGGTTAAACTGTTTACTGCAGAGAGTGCATTCAAATCTTTTATACTCGCTATGTATCCAGCTGTGTTGAATCAAATTTTTCTTCCTCGCAAACGATTTGGAGCACACCGTGCAAGGAAATGATTTTTCCTTGGTATGTATTACTTTATGCTCAGCCAAAGCTCGTTTAGTGTCGAATTTGAAACCACAGAACGAGCAAGCAAATATATCATCTGTGTGGGAGAGTATGAAATGTGCTCTATATGGATGCCACTTATCAAACACTTTTCCACAATCTGGGCATGTGTATTTCTTGGGTCTTTGACCGTGAGCTTCGATCAGATGGTCCAGCCTCAGCTTCCGTGATATAAATCTCTTTCCGCACAAATTGCAACTTTGTGGCCAACATTTTTCTGAGGACAGTACGTGTTGACGACGTTCCTCGCAACTTGGGAAGGCTTCCTTACATTTCAGACAAATTTTATACTGACTATGACCATATTGTATGTGGCGGGTCAGATTTTCTTTGTTGATATAAGACTTACCGCACGTCTCGCACGTATATTTATGGTAATGGCAGCTAGTGTGTCTACTCAGTTCGCGGAGACTAGGAAGTTTTAGGTTACACAGCGCGCACACCCATCTTTCCGGCCCCAATTTGAACATTTGCATGCCAACTTCTATGTTAAGATTGATACTCTTTTTGTGCTCATTGACCAAATGTTGGGCAATAGTGACGATACTCTCAAAGGGTTCCATACAGATGCGACAAGTCAGATCAAAACAGTCGACTTTTAGATATTCTGTATAGTTATTCATGGAGTGCGCGAAAGCGGTCTCCACGTTAAATACCGAATGCTCCTCGTTCATATGTTGCCTGTACAGCTTCGGATCGTCATACTGCTCGCAACAGTAGACGCAAACCATGGAATTACTCGGTATCCTGAAAGGATACGCCGTGGAATATTTCAAAACTACCTTAGCGTTGAGACGCGCCGCGACTAACCAATCCACCTCTAGAACAAAGAGAAAGTGCCGTCACTATTTTGCTCTTTTAGTTAACTTAATTTTTATAAGTATAGATGCAGTATTACTGATGTCTAAAAGATTTAAACACTTCCGAAAAAAACTGCGGAAAGAAATAAGTATTGGTAGAATAATTTCGCACATAATTTATGGGCGCTTAGTATTGTCCGTGACCGAAAAACGATTATTAAAATTCGCACTTATACAACTACTTCTTAGTTCTAGACAATATTATATTATTATTCTTATTTACTTAATTCATCTACTTAAGCTTAAAATTCTTCGGTTCAATCCATCAATCACATGATAATAAATAAACTTTTTTTTTCTATTACTAAATTTATTTATCATATCATTAATATTATTTACAACAAAAAAAAACAGAAAAATTTCTAGAAACGTTTATACCTAGTCTTGCGTTACATACTATTTTGCAATAAAATAATCAGTCAAGTGAGCCAGTTGAGATTCATAATATTGAGCTTTATCTTTTACTAGCGACTCGCCCTCGCTCCTCTCGGTTTCGTCCCTAGTAACGTTTTGACGTTTAGTATAGATTTCTCAGAGATAAGATATTTTCCCGCAATAACTTTTTATTGTATATATAATTTCATCGAAATCTGTCCAGTGGTTTTCTCGTGATCTGGGACCTGAATCCTGGAATCTGGGACCGCCCCAGACAGACAGACAGACAGACAGACAAAAATTCTAAAAACTATAGATTCGGCCTGTGTATCGATAATTATGACTATTTCAATAAGATTTTCCAATAAATGTACGGATTCGAATCAGTTAGAATTTTATTATATGCATAGATTTCATAGATAACCGATGAATTTTCATTCACCATTCGTCGTTATCTATACTTTTCTATACTAATAATATAAATGTGAAAGTTTGTGAAAATGAATATTTGTTACTCTTTCACGCTAGAACGGATCTGGATGAAATTTGGCACAGAGATAGATTATAGTCTGAAATAACACATAGACTTTTTATCCCGGAAAAATGTACGGTTCCCGTGGGATAGATTTGTTTATGTTTTCCTAGAGACGAACCCGAGTGAAGCGAGATTGAGCCACTAGTAATATGTTAAAAGCCAGTAAGTAATATGTTAAAAACTCCAGTTGGAGCTTTCTACTGAAATTACACGCATACTTTATATATCTAAATTAAAATTCAGTTTTAATGGCAATATTCCTTCGCTCCACAATTCATAATCTATATTAAAATTACAAATATGGTATTTTATTATACTTTTACTGAGAGTATTACAAATAATTATCGGTAGAAAATTGTTCTCATATATTTCTATCCTAATCATCTTATACATATTAAGATTGTTTTTTAACATATCGAGGTAATATTCAAATAAAATTAATTACTTACACAAAACACACAAAAAAAACGTAATCCAACTAAAATAAACTTACATAATTGTTCACAAATTCGGTCTAACTTTAAAAATAATAATATTATATTTGAAAAATCTTACTTCTTACCTTAAGTCTCTTAATACTAATACTTCGAGTATTCTAAAGTCACTACGCATATTTCTTTAATAATAATAAAAAAATGAAAAACTCACAAAATTCAAAGTTACACCACTCATAATTAATATAAGCCATTTTTTTGGACATAAATAAAAATATCATTACGTCATTTTTATAAAAAACGTCAATCTTCATTTGTCAATTGCCTAAAAAATGCAAATAGACTCGAAATCAATAAGACAACCCTAAATACTCGCATTCGCTATATTGTTAATATATTAATATCGATATTCGATTTAAACCAAAACATCCCTAAACGCCAATAGAAAACTGATTACTAGAGAGAGAATTATTCTAAAAATCCTTTTCGATATATAAAATCGATTAATCGTCATCATCATTATTCACTGAACCCAGACAAGGCAGTGGTAGCCCAGTGGTAACGCGTTCGATTGGATAACCGAGTGAAGCGGGTTAAAATCCCGGGTCTCGCACCTCTGATATTTTCATGTGTGAAACAATTCCAACATGATTACCACTTGAACTACGGTGAATGAAAACATCGTGAGGAAACCTGCATGTCTGAGAAAACCTAATAAGTTTTCGAAAGGCCAACGTGGACTATGGACTGAACCCTCTCGTCCCCGTTCAATTCCCTATTGGCTCACACCCAGCAGTGGGATGTTAAAAAGGTCTGAATACAGATACTATGTATCAACCTTTAATTTCAAGTTAAAGAAAAAAACGCCTACACGACAGTGAATGGAAACTTCTAGATACTACGCCGTATAACTAACGTGAGTGGACAAGTGTCGTTTGTATCGGGACCTACAAATGAATTTCATGCCACAATGCTTGCACACAACACAGTCTTTGGAGTGTTTTAGTTTAAAATGTTGGTAATAGGCACTGCCCTTGCTAAACGTTATATTGCAATCGGCACAACGGTCTACACGTTTCGTTTGACCATGTTCAGTCTCCATATGCCTTTTACGTATCTTCCAATCGTGAAATCTCTCCGGGCATTTGGAACAGCAGTATGCCATGCAGGATTTCTCTGTCCTTCTGTGTTTCTCCTTCGCTTCCATGTTAGGGAATACCTTCCCGCATCTCCTGCACGACACTTTGTACTCTTGGTGTTTGGATCGAACGTGGCGCAACAGGCCAGTCGTGGCCACATAGCTTTTGCCACAGAAATGGCACACGTAGCTTAAAAAGTGCGTTATCGTGTGTCTATTCAAGTGAAATAGTGATGGGCAACTTTTGGCACAGACCACACAACTGAAGAAATCCTTGCGCAAAACATAAGGCATCACACCGAGCCGGGCGTTAGAATCGATAGCTTCATCGTGAGTTTGTTTCAGATGTTCCGCGATCGTTTCCAAACTGTCAAACTGTTGGAAGCATATCCTACATTTCAAGTTGGTCAAATCAGCTTTAATAAACTCTAATTTGGGCAAATTATGGAATGCCACTTTTATGTTGAACGTATCGTGCTCCTCGTCCATGTGCCGTCTGAACACGTCAGGATCGTCGTACAATTCCTGGCAGTAAACGCACACAATGCACTTATCGTTCACTCTGAAGGGGTAAGCGGTTGTACATTTTATAATGGTTGCGGCGTTACCGCGAGCCGGGTCC